ACAACATGTATGAATTGTGGACATTACGGTAAATAAACTAATCACAAAAGACAAATGTTGTATGATTCCACTTAAATGAGGCACTTAGAGTGGTCAAAATCATAGAGCCAGAAAATAATGGGGGTGGTTACCAGGGGTTTGGGGTAGAGAGAAATGAGGAATTTTTGTTTACTGGATATAGAATTCCAGTTTTTCAAGAAAAAAGAAGTTCTGGAAATGGATAGTCACAGTCACACAGCAACATGAATGAACTGCACACTTAAAAATGGTTAATACGATAAATTTTATGTAATATGTATTTTACCACAATAAAAAATTGAAAAAAAATGATAGTAAAGGATTATAACCCACTGAGAAAGATGGGAACCCTGAGTCCATGCTGATAAAAACAAATAAAAGGAAATAAATAAATAACTGGAGAACAGGAAGCACTTGTTTACTTTAGAATGTCAATTGATAAAAGCACAAAGAATGATATAAGCAGAAAAATCGCTATTTGGCAATCAATATAGTAATAATTGATCGAGGCAAGAGACCTCAATGAATGCTGAAACTAGGCAGTGCCTGTCTGAGGAGGAATAAAATATTTAATAGTGTCAACATATCTTCCCACCAACTACTCATTAATTAAGAGGAAAATAAGTTTACAGTGTAGAAATCTGTCAGACACCACCTTAACCAAGCAAAGTTAACAGAATTGATAATGAGACAAATCACTTTCATGTTCCTTCTAATGCAAACCTGAGAAGAAAGTGAGTTTTATTTTTTTCTCTTCAATTCTTTTACATATTATATTTTTTCATACATGACTGGATTGGCAAGGTCCACAAGTAAAATGTTGAATAGAAATGATAAGAGTAAAACTTTTTCTTGATCTCAAAGGGGAAGCTTACATTCACCATTCTACCACTGAGTATGAAGATTTCATATATATAAAGAGAACATTTCTTTAAAGTATTTATATATATTACACACACACACACACAATTGGATTAAACATGTTTCCTATGAATCTGCCAAGAGGTTTTAAAAAGAATGGTTGCTGAATTTTAGCAAATGCTATTCCTGTACTGACTGATATGGTTATATAATTTTCCTCCTTTATTCTGTTAATGTGACCAATTACACTGATTGATTTTTCAAAAGATAACTTGCATTCCTGGAATAAATCCGACTTGCTAATGATTCAGTATCCTTTTTAGATATTGCTGGGTTCAATTTGCTAACATTTTGCTTGGAATTTTTACATCCATGTTCATAAAAGTTACTTTCTTTTTGTATTTCATATTTATATATTTATATTTTATATTTTTATATCATGTCCTTGATGGTTTTTGCTTTCAAACTATACTTACCGGCCTCAAAAATTAGTCAGGGAGTGCTCCTTTTTTTTATATTACCTGGGAAAGTATATGTAAGATTGTTATAATTCTTTTTAAACGTTTGGTAGAATTCATTAGTGAAGCTGTCTAGCCCTGGACTATTTGTGAAAAGGATATTTTTGTGGACCCCTCTGGGAAAAGAATGGGAGCCTGAGAATCTTCCCTTGTCCAGGGACTTCTGAGGGATTGGACTGAGACAGAGAGAGCTGGTGGTGTGTGGCATTTCAACCGCCTGACATTTTTCTAGAAGGACAGTGCCCTTGGTCTCACCTCTCTCATCGCACTCTCCCTGAGCAGTGGACTGTGGGATAGTGGGTCTATGAGCATCAGTTCTCAGGCTACTGATCGCACCTTACCAAAGATCCAGACTCAGGTCTTTCAGAGGAGAAGCCTTGGTGTTAGGCAGAAAGCAATGAGGGGGAAGGCGGAGAGGGACTGGTTCAACCAGACAGAAGTTCTTTGTTTGCTCTGCTTCTTTGTAAATGAGGCAACATTTGGAAACAACAAATATTGGTTCAGAGAGCCAATGCATTCCTGCCCATCCCTTTAGGTCAGCAACCCACCCCTCACCCCCTGCACGTACATACAAGTTCAGCTCTTTCTACAAGAGACCCAATCCCACTGAAATTTAAGAGTTTTATTCAGTTTATGGTGGAAGATTTGGGTCATGACTTGGCTTGGTTTATAACTGGAAGCTCTCTTCATTCCCCCCAGCCCCTCTTATCTCCTTTCTTCCCTTCCCCCCTTCATTGCTCCCTTCTATTTCTGGATAAAGCTAGAGAAAATGAATATCCAGAAGTAAGCTGTGGTCTAGAGAAGGCTGGGACTTAGGAGATTTGAGTTCGGGTCCTAGAGCTCTGTGAAGGAGGAGCTGTCATTTTAGTATAGAGTCCCCATCTGAAAAATGAGGAACTGACCTCATCTCTCCAGGTAATTGGTCAAGATCACAAAGATCTTGCCCCAGAACAGTGCTTGGAACATGGAAGGACAGAAAATGTGATACTTTCCTTCCATCTGAGCATAATAAATTGGTGCATACCTGAGGTTCTGCCGTTGGGGCACTCAGGCCACTCCCAGAGGGACAAGCCCCTCTGCACACTGAAATGTGGGGTGGTGTGTCTGTGAAGAAATGGCAGGGCTGAGAGGACCCTGTCTGTCCCTTTCAATGTGAGCCTAGATGAGTCCTTTGGTCTCTGTATGTCCCTGTTTCCTGCGAGAGGCACTGTCGCTGGTGGATGGGTACATGCACTCTGGAACCAGACCGCTTGATTATGCATCTGACTCACTAGTTGATTTTGGACAAGGTATTAACCCCTCACGGCCTCAGTTTCCTCACCTCATCTTTAATGCGGAGTCTCTTACACTGACCAGAAGGTGCTCCCTCTAAGGGGCTCAAGCTTGGCTGTGGGTCTGACCCTGGAGGAACTGCCTCAGGAAAGGCTCACTACCCCTCTGGTATAAGAGTAAGAGCACTAGGGTCCCAGGGGAGAGAATCAAGTTCTCTCTGTCTTCCATGCCCTCCACGGAGCTTCCCTGAGTTTGTGGCTTATTCAACATTGGGCAACTCTCCTTCCTGCTTCTGAGCAGACACTGCAAGCTCAGTGCACAACCTCAGGAGGCACCAGCTCCATAGGAGGCTTCTCCCAGCCAGGACTTCTCCTCATTTTCTCCTCCCGTCTTCATCTCTGTACCTTAAGGTCTCCCACAGGAAGACAGTTCACCCCCTAATACACCTGCTGCAGGGGGAAGAAGGAATATGCCCTTCCTGCCATGATTCTGGGTTTTCTATGGCTTACGCAGGAGGGTCCATGAGGGGCAGGGACAGAGGGAGGGTAACCAGCAGCTTCTCTTCCTCAGTGGTGAGGCAGCCTGGCTAGGCTTGTCTTCCGTCCCTACTGTAAACAGAAAGTCCCTGCTATAGCAATGCTTTCTAAAGTGGGGTGTGGGTAACCCCTCGTATATGAGACAATCTACTGAGGTATGGGAGAATATAGCCTAACTTCCAGTTGTATTTATTCTTAATGCAAAAGATTTACAAATGGACATTCATTACTATTTTGTATGAGGATTGGCACTGTCCCCCACTGGTCTGTAGGCCAGACAGACACAGGTCTTGCAGAGCCTCTGAAGTGTCCTGAGGGAAGATGAGGAACACCTCAAAAGGGCAGGGGTGAGAAAGAGGGTGCTGGATGGTTGTGACTCTCTGACCTGTCCTTTGCTTTTGGCTTTTGTGGTTCCCTATTTTGTGGCGTTTGTGTGCCCACGAAATTGGATGTACAGGTGATATGATGTGGTTTAACTCACCAAACCTCATAAAATGCACAAGTGCCTTAAAAAGATTTCTGCAAAGAAACTAGAATTAGAAGATGATTCTGGTAACACAAACACAAGTGAACAAAAATAAAATGACATTACTGACATCTTCTAGGCCTGGTATAGATTAATTAGTGTAGCTAGAGCCCCAAACCACAATCAACCTGATCAGACTGGATAAGTAACTTTTTGAGAAACCTAAAATTATCTTGAGGACTTTCTGGAGTATTGACTTATATCTACTATCAGGACCCTTGCCCTTTCCCTAAGTGTATTATTTTCCTTGAGATATTATTCAATGTATACAAGGCAGAATAAACAAAGGAACATTTTAAAAAGAATGTTTTATCTTTGTTTTATTGTTTCATAAATTTCTATTCCTCATATGGTTGAAATGTACACAATATATTAGTTTAAAAAATACACACACAGAATGTACAAGCTCACTATGTTTCCTGATAAGGATGGGCAATCAAAGTCAATTGGAAACCACTTAGCTGGAGGGAGCCAGAGATGACCCAGGCTTTGAGACCAGGCTACATCCTCCTCTGGGCCCCTTGCTTTGGGCTGGTGTGTCGTTTTGTTCTGAGTCTCTAGACTTTGTCACGTTCCTGGGTAGCTTCTTGTGGGAGACAGTTTGTCTCCCCTGTGACTCTGTCCCTAGGCCGAGGTGTCTTTCAGGCTGCGTGGAGGGAAGGAAGGTGTTCAGTCCAGGAGTTTTAGATCAGTGGGGCATATAAGGGCAGAACAATGTCTCAGTTAGGAGGGCCTTTGAGAGCCCAGGAGCAGTGTTTCTGGGGACACCTGGGAAGAAGTGAAGGGTTGAGGCCAGCTTTATCTTCTCTGACATCCTCTCTAAGGAAGGTCTTTGCTTGTTATTCCGCGTCTCTAGTCTGGATCTAGGGTAGTTCCTTCCCTCTTTTATCCGTGGAATGAATGTGTAAGACTGGTGCAGGACCAGCTCTAGTAGCATCCTGAGATTTGGGAGCAGAACCACCCTCCCCAACACGCCTCCGCCCCCCAAGCCCCGCTGTGGCCCTGCTCCTGGCACAGAGAGAGCGCACATTAACAAAGGGTTCATTTTTCCTTAATTCCCTTACAATCAGCATTTTTGTGCTGGATTCCATCCGTGGGTCTCTCCGGAGCTCAGGAAATGAGGTGATCGGCCTGGGGAAGGAATGAAGGGGGAGGGATGAGGGGTGATTGGGCAAGCGGGCTGCGCAAACACAGGAGGTCAAAGATTCTGCTTGGCCCGCTGGGCCGGACATAAAGGGGCACTGGACGCGGGGAGGCGGCGCAGAAGCCCACAGGTCTGTGCTCCCGGCTCCTAGCCACAGACCAGGAAGATGAGGCTTGCTGTCCCCACCCTGCTGGCCTGCGCGGTCCTGGGTGAGTGCCGGCTCGGGGAAGGCTCCCAGAGTCGCCAGCTCCGTAGCTTTTTGCACCCTCCACTCGGCCACACAGGCTCCTGGATTCCATCCACGCTTGGGCTGGAAGCCTAGAGAACTTCCTTCGCTCTTCCCCGCCGCATCCCTGCACCTGGTTGAGAACTGCCTTAGGTTTAGTTCTGCGCCTGCGCACAGCTGCTTGTCCTGCTAGTGCTTCTGCCCCTTTTCGTCCCCTCCATGCTTCCTTGCTTCCTCTCCATGCTCTCCTTCTTGTTGTCCAGTAAATCCCGTAGTATTAGAATGCAATAAGAGCACTTTCATCATGGTTTATCAGATCCCTTCTATGAGGTCTCCTGAGTCGTGTCTGAACTGCTAAGAATGGCACTCAAGGCCTCCTAAATTTGACTGCGCCCCCACCCTTGGCGGTCTGATGGCCCATTGGGTGCCCTTGGCACTGAAGATGTCCTGCTAAGAAGCAGGGCCATTGAGGGATTCAAAGCATATTTGAATCCAGGATTCTTGTGTCATCACCAGTGAGAAGGCTGGGCCGGGGAGGGTCGGGTGAGGGTAAATGAGGCGGTGGGTCCAGGCTCCAGTGGAGTGGAGTCTGCTGCACACATCCGTGCTGTGGGGTCTGTAACTGGAAGCCCTCTGCTACACGCATCACCTCCTGAGATTGTTTGGCGTCCTCTGTTCTTTAACTTCTGCCTCTCCTGGTGCATTCGTTATACCTTTGGAGCTTTGTGTTTCGTTATTTGTCTCTCCTGGAAAAGTTTACCCTTGGGAGTTGGCCGTGCATTACTTGCCTTTGGCCCTGGTCCCCTCCCACCCTCAAAGCACCTCACAGGGCTGTGCAAGGTAAATGCAGGACTCAGGACAAACTCCTGCCCATGAGACCTCAGGAAGAGCAGTTTGGGGAGTGGGGGTGGGAGTGGGGGTGTCTGCCACTGAATCCTAATGCCTCCCATGACTTCTCATGGGAGAGGTGGGATAAAGGGTGGCTGGGGCAGTAATTTCCCAGTGGCTCCTCCTTATGCAACCTGGAGAAGTGTTGCCCTCTCCGCTTCCTGCTTTGCGCTTTGTGGATATTCATCAGCTTCCCTGAGTCAGCCCTGTGCTCTTCTCCACAGAACGTGGAGATGACATAGGTCTTTGGGAGCAGTGCAACCACATGATTTTAATAGCTGCAGACATGGCTGGCTTTAGTTTCTCCTAATGGCAGCCCAAAAGACTGATGAAAATTGAAGGAGGGGTCACTGGAAGCAGAAAGAGCCACTGAATATGTGGAGTTCTACTTATTCCTGGAACAGAGGATGATAGACGAGATTCAAAGGCAAATTCATGATTTCATCAGTCATTTACCCCTACCTACTGGCCAAGCAGATAGAAAATAACTCAGAATGTCATCTTCTTTTCTTCCCTGGGCAGAGACCAAAGGCTGGAGACCTGGTTTCTAGGCCAGTCTTGGCCACTAACAGGCTGGATGACCTTAGGTAAAGCATCACTCTCTAAGGCCAGTTCCATCATCTTTAAAAGATGGTAATTCCTACCTTGCTAGCTTCCCCAAGTTGTCATATCGAGCCAATGCCTTCAAGTGGCTGAAAATGCTCTGTCACACTGATGAGGCTTATGTCCCAGGGCAGTCTCATGATGGTGAGATAAGGAGGCAGGGAAAACAGAGAAAAGCAGATTATTGTGGTCTCCAGTTAAGAGCTGATGGTCAAGCCAGCATCCCTCTGGCTAGCATAGGGTGGTAAGCAGGTGACTAGGGGGCCATTAGGGTTCCATTCTCTTGTCCCCAGCCTCAGAAGGCAATGGAATCTGTGCTCTGTGGTGTTAATAGGAGGAATAGGAGGAGGACAGGTTGGGAGAGATGGAGACTTCAAGAGCCTTCGGGGCTGCTCTGTCTTTCCCACTAACACAACCTCTGACCTCTTTCTCCTAGGGCTGTGTCTGGCTGTCTCCCCTGAGAGAACTGTGAGATGGTGCACGGTCTCAAATCATGAGGCCAGTAAGTGTTCCAGTTTCATGGAAAATATGAAAACTGTCCTTGAAAATGGTCCTTTTGTCAGCTGTGTGAAGAAAACCTCCTACCTTGAGTGCATCAAGGCCATTTGGGTAAGCCACTGTTGCCTAAAAGAGAGTGGAATAAAATCCAAACCTTCTCTTCTGACATTTTGGAACAACTCTACTCAGGTGGGAGGCTGGTGTGTGGGACAGTCAACCCCCAGTGCTAATAAAGGCACTTCAGAAAGGGAAATTGGAGTAGATATCTTTAAAGAGTCTTAAAACAAAATCCAACACACTCTGAAAAGGGGACTATTTTGAGGCACCAAGTTCTCTGAATTCAGGGAAAAAAACAAGAATGTTTACTATCAAAATTACCATATGACATTGTTTTGGAAGTTCGTGGTACATCACGGGAACTAGATGAATGATGCTCATGGAGAAGAGGAACACAGTGCCAACGGCAGATGGTTGCTGATCTCTTTGTTTTTCAGATTTTCCAAAAACACTTCACTCCTTCATTGTTGTCCCTGCACATCGGAATGGGGGTCAGACCCTGTGCTGAGCAATGGGGCTGCAGTGGTGAATTTAAACACATCTGGCCCTTATTCTTGACAAGATAACATTCTAGTGGGGAGAGAAGAAAAATATGCAAACAAATAAATTGTAAATTTCAAAGTGTGTGATGTACGATGAAGGGAAAGAGTACAATGCTCTGGAAGAGACTTTCAGAAGAAACTTACTTTGGCCTGCGTGTCAGGCACAACCTCCTTGACAGGGAAGCAATGAAACTAGGACCCCAAGGATGAGCATGGGTACGCCTGCTGGGTGCCACAGGTAGAACACGTCAGGCAGTGAAGAACCGTTTGTGCAAACGGCCCAAGATAGCAGAGCGGGAGTTTCTGAAGTTGCTGTAGGGAAATCAGGGAGAAGGAGTAGAGCAAGCAGGAGACTGGAAGGAGTAATGAGGGGGGAAAGGTAGACTCAGCCAGACGGAGCATGATCGACTGAAGGAATCAGTGATTTGGTCAAAACAACTGGCCTGTGTGTGTTTTTTAGTTGGATCTGTTATGATCATGCTTTAAATTATCACCCTTGAATTGTGACATTTGTTTAGCTCTAGTCCATGCATGCCCCTTTCCATTTTTAAATTGCTGATAATATAAAATGATACTATCCATGAACCTAACACAGGTTCTCAAAACTTCATCAGTACCAATCGCTTACTTCTAGGGCTGCAGTGTGGCAGCACTGGATTCTATGGGAATGACAACCACGTAGTGTGGTGTAACCCACTGGCCCTACTTACAGTTACCGATGTCTTTCTCCATCCATTCTCAATCTTACAACTTTCTTGCCTTGTATTTTAGTTTTAAGATGTATATGGGTATGTGTGAATGACTATATGGTTTTGATTCGTAAAAAGTTTCATAAACATGGCATTACTATATGTTGTCTTCTCCTTGTTTTTCCCTCCTCGATATTATGCTAAGATTCACCCATATTGTTGAATATAGCTATTGTTCATTCATTTTCAGAGCCCACAATAGTCCATTATGTTAGTATAACACAATGTATTTTTTCTTTTCTGGTCATTAGGCATTTGGGTTCTTTCCAGCCTTTTGTTATTCTAATCAGGGCTTGACAATTTTTTTTTAAAGATTTTATTTATTTATTTGACAGAGAGAGAGAGATCACTAGTAGGCAGAGAGGCAGGCAGGGAGAGAGGGGGAAGCAGGCTACCCGCTGAGCAGAGAGCCCTACATGGGGCTCGATCCCGGGACCCTGAGATCATGACCTGAGCCGAAGGCAGAGACTTAATGCACTGAGCCACCCAGGCGCCCCGACAAATATTTTTAACACATCTCCTAGGACACAAGTATTAATAGTTTCTCTTGAATATATATATGTAGGAGCAGACTTGTTGTGCCATGGGATATGTATTTGTCTTCTAAGACAATGACAAATATGTTTGATTTTTTAAAAAATAATAATGAATTAACATATAGTGTATTATTAGTTTCAGAGGTAGAGTTCAGTGATTCATCACTTGCATATAACACCCAGTGCTCATTACATCACGTGCCCTCCTTAATACCCATCACCCAGTTACCCCATCTTCTACTCTCCTCCCCTCCAGCAGCCCTCAGTTTGTTTCCTATAGTTAGGAGTCTCTTATGGTTTGTCTTCCTCTCTGATTCCGTACGATTTTATTCTTCTTCCCCTTTCTTTATGATCCTGTATTGTTTCTTAACTTCCACATATGAGTGAAATCATGTGACAATGGTCTTTCTCTGATTGACTTATTTTGTTTAGCTAATACCCTCTAGTTCCATCCACGTCTTTGCAAATGGCAAGATTTCATTTTTATGCCTGGGTAATATTCCATTGTATGTATACACACCACATCTTTATCTATTCATCTGTTGAAGGACATCTCGGCTCTTTCCATATTTTGGCTATTGTGGACATTTCTGCTATAAACATTGGGGTGCAGGTACCCCTTTGGATCACTATGTTTGTATCCTTTGGGTAAATAACATACCTAGTAGCACTATTGCTGGGTCATAGGGTAGCCCTAGTTTTAGGTTTTTGAGGAAACTCCATACTGTTTTCCAGAGTGGCTGTACAGCTTGCATTCCCACCAGCAGTGTTTGACTTTTAAGCCAATTCAATATGGTTCTTTTTTTTTTTTTTTTTTTTGGTATTTACCTATGTAGTTGGTTATGTTCATTTCTTTTAAAAAATTTTTAAATTTAAATTCAATCTAATTGACATACACTGGATTATTAGTTTTAGGGTAGAATTTAGTGACTCTTCAGTTGCATATAACACCCAGTGCTCATTACATCAAGTGTCCTCCTTAATGCCCATCACCCAGTTACCCTATCCTCCACCTATCTCTTCTCCAGCAACACTTAGTTTGTTCCCTATAGTTAAGAGTCTCTTATGGTTTGCCTCCCTCTCTGTTTTCCTCTTATTTTTTCCTTCCCTTCCCCTATGTTCATCTGTTTTGTTTCTTAAATTCCACATATGAGTGATGTAATATGGTATTTGTCTTTCTCTGATTGGTCTATTATGTTTAGCATAATGCCCTCTAGTTCCAACTATGTCATGGCAGATGGCAAGATTTCATTCTTTCTGATGGCTGAGTATTATTCCATTGTGTGTGTGTGTGTGTGTGTGTGTGTGTGTGTCGATGGACATCCAGGCTCTTTCCTCCTTTTTTTTTGGAGTGTAGTTGACAGTTAATGTGATTATTTCAATTTCTACTCCTACCACCAGCATATGAGTGAAAAATCCATATCATTCTTGGTGAATTTGGTATTTTATCATTATGAAATTATCTGGCAGTGCTTTTTGACTAAACTCTATTTTTCTATTAACATACTACATCAACTTTCTTTGCTTAGTAGTCTTCTTCTGTGATTTCTTTCATTCCTTCATTTTCAGTTTTCTGTTGCTTCTGCTTCAGGTGCATCTTTTGAGAACTGTTTATTGCTGGATTTTATTAATACAATCTGACAATTAGATTTATTTACTTTATGTGAAAACTCATTTATTTTATTATTATTACTGGTAAATTTGGACATAATTCTGCCATATTACTTTTTAATTTTAGTCCAGCTTTCCCTTGTTTTCTGATTTTTCCTCTTCTGATTTTTAAAAATTGAGTTTGCACATGTGTGTGTTCATTTGCATTGTTTTCCCTTTATTACACTTTCCCACCTACTGGTAATGAATTTAAACACTTTATTTATATTCCTTTTGAGTTCCTTAAATTTTTACTACATACTTTTAGCTTACCAATGTATTACAGTAAAATAATCCTGGCCCTCCTTCTCAAACAATAAAATGACCCTGGGAAACGGTCGCTCAGACTTCCCTCTTCCCTGTTTAAATATTACCATTTAATATTTTATGTCTATCTTTTTAAAACCCACAATGTAAATACTTCACGTATTTGTAGACACTATATAAAAATGTATATGGGGGGGCTTGTAGGTCTATGTCTATGTGTGTGTGTACACACACCCAAAAATTTAGAAAGAGTGACGGAATATTTAGATTTATCTGTATTTTTGCCATTTAGTCTGTTTCCCATCCCTTCTCATTTTTCAGACCATCCTTCTGGGATATGTTTCCTTCTTGATATATAAATTTTGGGGGGATTCTTTGAGCCAATATCTTGGTGTTAAACTCTCTCAGTAGTTTGCTTTCCTCTACAAATGCTTTAATCTCACGAATGGTAGTTTTGCTGAATGTATAATTCTAGCTTGACATTTTTACCCTGTTTTAAAATATTATTCCACTGTCTCCTGACTTCCATTGTAGTTGTGGAGAAGAGTGGTATTATCCTGTTATTGCTTCAGTCATCTCTGACTGATTTTGAGGTTTCATTTTCTTGGTCTGTAATGTTCTATAGATTCACTATGATTAATTTGCAGTTCTGAAAATCTTGGTACCTCTCCTGCTTAGTGTATATTGGGTCTGTGGAATTATGCTTTTCATCGATTCTGAAAAATTTACAGCCCTTATCTTTTTAAATATGTTTGTTTCAGTCTCTTTTTAAAAAAAATTCTAGGATTCCAAGATGACACATGTTGGGTCTTCTTTAATCTAACCTTTTAATCCTTCTTCCACAACTTCCATCATCTATACCTCTTTTTGGCAGGATCTAGAGTACATTTTTCAGATAGAGCTTCCACTTCACTAATTCTTAATTTTAACATGTCTAATCAACTTATTGCCCATTCATCACTTTTTTTTTTTTTTTTAGATTTTATTTATTTGACAGTGAGAGAGAGATCACAAGTAGGCAGAGAAGCAGGCAGAAAGAGAGGGGGAAGCAGGCTCCCCGCTGAGCAGAGAGCCCGATGTGGATCCCAGGACCCTGAGACCATGACCTGAGCTGTAGGCAGAGGCTTAACCCAGTGAGCCATCCAGGTGCCCCTCCCTTCATCACTTTTTTATTTCAACAGTTATATTTTTTGTTTCTAGATGTACCAGTTCAAATAATTTTTCTTTTTATTTCTAATAATTTCCTTTTCTATGCTTTAACTCTGATTGCAGTCTTCAATTTGTATAGAAAAGTAAATCCCCCACAGGCAGCTCTTCTCAACGAATCAGACAGCTTCAACCTCCCTCGAGTTTTTTGTTCCTCTTGACACTCACGCATTGTGGTTTATATTCTTCTGAGTGCAGTTATCTGCACCTGTGGGGGTTATACTTGATCTTAATCCTCCTCCTCCTTGCTGGTTCAGGTTCCCCTTGGAATCCCTGCTGCTCTAGTGGATCCCATGAGTTAGGCCTTGGCTCCTTGGTTCCTTTGCCCCTGAGGCCACAGTGATACCTGATCAGCATCCTGGTGTCTTGGCCATAAAGCCCCAGTCTCACTGCTCCAGGAAAAGTTGTTTGTTTGCTTATTCGTTTTTACTCTGTGGTGTGTGGGGTGGGTAGGGGGAGGCTAGAGGTTGTACTTAACTTTTCTGATACCAAGGAGGACACAAAGATTGCTTCATATTTGGTATTTAGTTGTGGAATACAGCTGTCCTTCACCAATGTGAATGCATCTAATGGCACTGAAATGTATACTTACAAAAGGTTAAACAGTAAATTTTATCTGATGTATATTATAATAAAAACAATACCAACCCTTACAAGTTGCCCCAAGATGAACTAACTAACTAAATATCCAGCAAGTAACTGTAATGGAAGAAATAAATCCAGACAACCTGAATTTAGATCCCAGCTCCATGACTTACTAGCTATGTAGCCTGGGGAAGTAACAAACTTCCTGTGCCTTTGTTTTTCAACTGTAAAATGGAGCTGAGTTGAACAGTGGTGACCTCGACATATCTGAATAGTTCATTAAAAAAACAATGAGCCATAACAGAAATAATAATTAGCATTTTACCCTTAGTTCATAGTATAAGTGAGAGGTAAAGCCCAAAGAAAGTATCAAATCCTTGAACAAGACTGTTGTAGTTATGGGGTCCCAGAACAGGAAGAAAAAGTACTGAGTACTGAATCAGAGTGGACACAGTGTCTTCAAGGCTCCCCTCCCCCATAAGAAGGGCTTCACAAAGTACTTGAGGAAGACCTCAGCAGAAGGCTCAAGATAAAGAGGTTACCAAAGAAAGCAATGTAGTATGAATATGTAGTATAAATACCGCTCGCAGTATAAATATGTGTAAGAGAATGGTTGCAACTTCCTTCAGTGTCTGTTGTGTTTGTGCATTGTACCCAGTCTAGGGTTGGGAGGGCAGCTTTCCCCCATGAGGTCTGCCAGGAAAAGCTCCTCTAATGTGATCTTGAAAGACCACACATAGGTTTCTGGGCCAAGAACCAGACTCCTTACCAGGGGAAAGAAAAACATAATCCATTCCTTACTCTATGTGGGTGGAATAGGAAAATGGTGGCCAAATCCCCTTACCAGGGAGATGAAGTCAACCGAAACCCTTGGTGTGATGTGTAGTTGCGCCAAGGTGAGGGTTCTTCTGGCCCCAGATCCAAGAAGCCCTGCCAGTCACCCTCACTTGCCCGGGTATAGGTAGCCCTTCCTCAGAAGTAAGGACTTCATCAGGGTCTGGTCTGTTATCTTACAGGCAAATGAAGCAGATGCTGTGACACTGGATGCAGGCTTGGTGTTTGAGGCGGGCCTGAATCCCTACAACCTAAAGCCTGTAGTGGCAGAGTTCTATGAGTCAGAAGGGGGTAAGTTCTTCCTGGGGACCCAGGAGAGAGTGTGTGGCTCTTGTTCTCTCCTGGTAGATGCTGAGTGTGTCTTGCCCAGGCAGCTAATGTAGACTAAATACTGATGAACATTTCCCATTGGGTGTCAGTGGGGAATGAGAGGCCCTGTCAGCTGCCAGAGGCACAACTCAAGGCCTCTGGGGCTTTGGGATGGTTGAGGACTGGTGCTCCTGACACTCACCTTCTGGGCTAGGAAATGTGCTCCCTGGAGAAACAGAGCAGACCGTGCACAACCTGACCTGAACCACTAGAGTTTAGAGCTACACAGTACATACTTGGAGCCCCAACAGCCTTGCATCTCCTCTGAGAGCAACCAGCTGTCCCTGGGCCTGTGTCAGGGAACAGGAAGTACTTAGAATAAATGTGGTCTCTGTGCTACAACTTCAATTTCCTTGTGGGCCTGGTTGGTATGTGTAGGCAGACACACTGCAGGGCCATGGTAGGCAAAAAGCATTTGGGCCACATGTTTATGTGGCCTTCTTGCCCCTGTGTTTGTTTGGACTATTACTGCAAATGTTCTCCCTGTGGTCCTTTCTTCCCCCTGCAAGTCTAGGCAGGTTTTCCTGATCTCTCTCCCTCTGTGAGCCAACTCAACATAAATGTGCCCTGTGGATTCCCTTTCTTTACTCAGGAACTCAGTAGGGATGAGCAATGTTTCCCTGTGGCCCAGGTTAAGGGTCTTTCATTCACATTGTCTCTTTGCAGATCAAAAAACCCAGTATTATGCTGTGGCTTTGGTGAAGAAGAGCAGTAACTTCAACCTGAATGAGCTCGAAGGCAAGAAGTCCTGCCATACAGGCCTTGGCAGGTCTGCTGGATGGAACATCCCTATGGGCTTACTTTATTGGAAGCTGCCTGAGCCACGTGACTCTCTTCAGAAGGGTAAGTGGGCAAGAGGGTGACTGCTATCAGGCAGGCCTACACAGGCCACACTGGGATCACTCAGACATGATCAGGTGATCGTGTATGAAGAGTCTGGGGGGGTGGAGGGAGAAGGTTCACCAGTTTTAAACCGGTCAGTTCTGCCACACCTGCAGCCCTTGGCAGGTGTCAGCTGAGTTTTTTCTCTGAGCTCTTAACACCAAACCAAAGGCTATCCTGAGAAGTGGGGGGAAGGCCATCAAGCCCAACAGAGGGCTTCAGTCAGGGCCAAGTTTGCTGGGCCCTACTGATCACTTTCCTGGGGTTCATTCCTATCTGTGGCTGATCTGCTGGAGCTTTTCTGGTAGCCATCTGCTGGCCATGAACTTGGCTTGCACCTACCTGGGTTTCCCATCTCTCAGAGGAGACCTCTCTCTGAGCTGTTCCAGTCTGACAGTGACCTGAGACAGGCCTGGGTCAGTGGCAGGCACAGGTCTGGTTCTTGGGGCGGGTGGTGGGAGGACAAATGTTAATTCGTCCCTTTTGGAAAATCTTGATCTTGATCAGTGAACATATGCAAGGGTGTGCTGAGACTGGGTGTATTCATTTTCCTTTAGTCACTCTCTGTTCCTTAAAAACCCTAGACTGGGAGCTATAATTGCTTGTGCCCAGGGTGGCTCATGACCTGTGTTACATGTCTTATGTTGAACAGCGGTGTCCAGTTTCTTCGCGGGCAGCTGTGTTCCCTGTGCAGATCGGACAGCCTTTCCCAAACTATGTCAACTGTGTGCAGGGAAAGGGACAGACAAGTGTGCCTGCTCTAACCATGAACCATACTTCGGATACTCAGGTGCCTTCAAGTGAGTGAGACCAGCTGCTACTCCATGATGGCCAAACTGTCCAATGTCCTCAGGCTGGGAGACCCTACCTGGCCCGTAGCAGAGCCCAGCCTACAAAGAGGCATCCAGAGGCCTCATGCCCTTGCAGTGACTCAGTGATCCAGCTGAGACTCTCCAGGCCAAGCCAGTGCATATACCTTTTATGTGACATTTGACAAGGGAGCCCCTCTCCTGGAGATCTTTTCTACCTCCCCAGAGCCCTGGAACCTGCCCAGTATGTTCTTTTGCTGGACTGGGCAGAGCCTAAGGAAACAGGCACATCCTAGTGTTTGAACCATTCTTCAGTGACTGACCCTCTGCTTTCTATTGTAGCAGGGTCTCCTGTTCAATGCACTCTCTCCAGCCTTCCCTCACTGCCCCTGTGCCGACAGCTCATGTGGCTGATTTTTCTCTCCCTCTTTCACCTTGGTTATATACTAAAGTTTGATGCCAGCTGAGGGACATTTCCTCTCTCAGGAGACTCTAAGTCTTTATTTTCCATTTCAGAAATTTAAAAACTCTTTTCTCTATTAAAATATCTTCATTGACTTTTTTTGCTACTGTGGGGCATGTGATAAGGGATTTCTAGTTCCCATGAGCTCATCCCCTCCTCATCTTCGTGGTATATCAGTGCCCCGTAGTGCTTCCTCAGCTATGGGTCGGCATAGAGGCCTCCATCGATCTCTGTCCTTGTCCCAGACTGGATGGTGTGACCAGACAGACCCTCAAGCCTGAGGTGAAGGGCCTGCCATGCAGGAATCCTCTTAATGTATTTTTTTCCCACAGGTGTCTGATGGATGACGCTGGGGATGTGGCCTTTGTCAAGCATTCAACAGTGTTCGGTAAGTAACAGGAGAATCTACAAATTCCCTCCAGGCAGTGGGCCCCCCCACCCTGTACCCCTTCTCATGGTCAGTGGTCACATATAAGCATACTGTATTCCTCCTTTATCATTGCTTGGGTTTCTACTTGTGCAGAGTTGTGTACCTATGGGGTCTACAACTGGACGCCTGGGGCTCTGTCCATCCTTCAAACTCCTAGACATGGGGACCCTTCTTCCTGGTCAATGTTGCCACAGCAAGGGATTGGGGGCACATCTGGTTGAACTTGGCCTGAAGTTGGTCGGCTGAGATGAGACATGTTGTGGGGTATGGGGCTGTTACCCCTGTACTAGGCATCAGATGCTTTCTTGCCTGTAACTGGCTGTGGGATCTCAAGCAAGTCAGTTCCCTTATGTACTCTGGCCCTCAGTGTTTGCTCTAGGTATCTCAGCTTGAACATGCTATAATTCATTGGGATTGCAAGGGATGAGGAGAGAGACTACACAGCTCATGACTCTGTCCTATCTGCAGTTGGCTAATCCAGGCTTTCTTCCCCCAGAAAACCTGCCAAATGAAGCTGATCGGGATGAGTATAGGCTGCTCTGCCCAGACACCTTGCAGAGGATGACAGTAGATAAATATAAGGACTGCCACCTGGCCCGTGTCCCTTCCCATGCTGTTGTGGCCCGAAGTGTGGGGGGCAAGGAAGACTTGATCTGGGAGCTTCTCAACCAGGCCCAGGTACTGAATTCACTGTCCTCCCTCCTGCTTAGTAGTCCCTGCTTGGATTTGGGGCATTTTCCTACATTCCCTTTTGTCACTATGGAATAACTTTTTTTTTTTTTTTAGGACATAGTGGGAACTGTGCCACATTCATCTATTTGTTTAAAAGTGCCCAGTGGGGACTCAGAGTCGTACAGAACCTAGTCCTGCATGATTGCCTGTCAGACCCTTACATTTTGGCCTAGTGACATAAAGATGCTCCTTATTGTTTAGTTCTGTTTCTTTCCATCTAAACCAGGACTTCTAGGCCAAGGGCAAATACTCCCTCCCCCATAAGGCCTTCCATGACCTCTGCAGAAGGAAATGATCTCTTTCCTAATGTCCTCTCAGCCTGACTGAAAGAAAGCCACACACACAGCCAGGTTTATTTCCCTAGAGCAGCAGAATGCCAGCCCTGAGCCAACCTCCTTTCGTCCAGCCCTCCCATCTGTCTATCAAGGGCTAAAGTGGTAACCACACAGTGTCAGCTTCTGAAGGAGACTGCATTTCTTAGACTCAGTGAGCTGTCAGCCCAACCAAGGAGACAGGCACAGAAACATATTCTGTGAAATAGGTTGTTGCATGACTGCAAGAAGACTGGGAATGGGGATGGTGCTGGGTGGAAAAAGGAGGTCTGACTGCCCTTTCTCCCTGAATCTTGACAATTTAATGGTTTTAATTTCATTTTCTGGGGTTTTTGTTCCCTCGGTCCCCTTTCACAGCCTTTCTTGCTGCTGTAGCCAATCACTATTGTGTTTTACTATACACAGGAATATTATGGCAAAGACAAATCTAAAGCCTTCCAGCTCTTCGGCTCACCTTTGGGGAAGGACCTGCTGTTTAAGGATTCTGCCCAAGGGCTTTTCAGGATTCCCTCTAAGATGGACACCTGGCTGTACCTGGGTTATGACTATGTCACTGCTCTTCGGAATCTAAGGGAAGATGTGCGTAAGTACTGGGAAAGGATCATGTGACATTTTGGAGCCTGGAAACCTGGTGGGTGCAAGGACCAGCAATAGACGCTTTCCAGGTACCGAAAACGCACCCTGACATTTATCTGCCCTGCCTTGCTGCCTAGTGTCAGACTGATGCTAAGTGGTGTCAGTCATCATGAGATGGGCCTGGACATCACCAGAGGCATTGAAGGAAATTCATACTTAAAATGACTTGGATTGATACTAGTGTTATTTTCCTTGTGTAAATCAGGGCCGCCCTACCCTCTGTGGAGCCAAGTAGGCTGGCACAAAGTAAGTGAAATAGGATACAATTGCTACAGACTTGCACACCTGCTGCCAGTATGATGACCAATGTGTGCAAAGCTGGCACTCTAGACAGCTTGATCCTGCTCCCGAATTTCCTCGGGTCATTGGATGTTTGCTTGATTATATTCATTCATTCAACAGACACTTATTGATCATGTAGCCATAGACTGTGCGAGGTGCTGGGCATGCAATGGTGAGACAAACATATATTAGATTCTGCTCTCATGGAACTTTCTCACCAGCAGAGAAGACAAACATTCTATGAAGAGTCACTCTACTGAATGACTTATTAAAAATGAGAGATTTGCTCAGAAGAAGGGAAAGCAAACACAATAAAACAAAATATCATGGTCTGATGAAACCATGAAAACAAAGAAGAATAGCTCCTAGAGCTGCGGTAAGGCTTCCTTAAGGCAGTGACTTGAACTGAGCCTGTCAGTCAAATAGATGGCCATTTACTCAGCAGACATTAATTGCAATGACCATAAGCCAGGCATTGCCTTTGAACAATGAGTGTGCCTTAAGCCCTTGCCCTGGCTGAGTTTATGTTCTCCACAGGGAGAAGACAAAAAACAATGAACACATAAGTAAGAACAACCCAGGTGGTTAAGTGCTATTTCAAAAAGAAGAAGAAGAAGAAGAAAACCCAAAACAGCCTGAAGGGATAGAGGGGTTGAGAAGAAAGTTGGCATCTAGGAAGAGATTATTGTTAAGCCATATCTAAATGATAAGAAGCCAAGAAAGAGATTGTTACTGCCTTTGTTTTCTAAGATGATGAATTCCTGGAATGGGACCTGTTTGTATATTGCTGGCAAATCCCAGCATTTTCATAAAGACAGTTAGCAGCATTCATAACCAGCAGGAACTTCTGGGGCTTCATCTGAAATCTGGCTCTTTTTCTTATGTCTTAGGCCCGGATACCCCAAGGGATGAATGCAAGAAGGTGAAATGGTGTGCCATAGGTCACCATGAGAGGGTCAAGTGTGATGAGTGGAGCGTAAACAGTGAAGGGAAAATAGAGTGTGAAACAGCAGAGTCCACTGAAGACTGTATTGCCAAGATCGCGGTATGTCACTCCTGCATCCATAGGGCAGTATTTCTGCCCCTGCTGCCTGCCTGTCCCTAAGGCTGAGGAAGTGTTCTTGGGAAAGATATAAAAACCTGGGTTCCCAAGGAACCCTGCCCTCATGTGGGAGCCCAGGCCCATGGAAGCTTCAGTACTTTTGAACTTATGGATCTGAAGGGCTCCTTAGGGCTCTGTTTCCTCCCGGTGTCAGCACACGGTGGAGGGCACTCTCAGCTTTGTCCACTTACGGGAGATTGGACCATGGTGTGAGTGTGCCTGAGACCCACGGTGTGCCATGAGAGGTTTGACAGGGCTGCTGATTGTACAAGCAGGTAGAAGTTAAACTTTGCATTCATAAGATGCTAGGTGATCACAAGATCATTCCACGATCTTGAGCATTCCATGTTTGCTTTTAGAGTTTTGAAAATCCTGAATGATACAAAAAGAAAATGAGAAGTACTTGTAATCTTCTAACTCCGAGAAAACCCTGTAAAATGGGATCATATCAGATGCACAATTTACTATATTTTTGCACCTGATACCTAGTTAGCTTTTCTTATGTCACAAATCATTTTTCTAAAATAGGATCTTTTATTTATTTATTTTTTAAATTTATTTGGGAAAGAGCAAGTGAGAGAGCAAGTATGAGTGGGGGGAGGGGCAGAGGGAAACGGAGAGGGAGAAGCAGATTCCCCACTGCGCAGGGAGCCTGATGCGGGACTTGATCCCAGAGCTTGAGCAGAAGGCAGACACTGAACCAACTGAGCCAGCCAGGCACCCCCAAAACATGATCTTTTAATGTAATCTCTTTCAGAGCGTGGATGTGATGCAATCCATTTAGCCATTTATCCACATTATCTATAACATCATTTAGTCTGTTTCTGGTTATCAATTATACGTGCATGTTTTACATTGTATGAATCACACTTGCACTTGTACTTTTTTTTTTTTAAGATTTTTATTTATTTATTTGACAGAGAGAGATCACAAGCAGGCAGAGAGGCAGGCAGAGAGAGAGGAAGGGAAACAGGTTCCCTGCTGAGCAGAAAGCCCGATGCGGGGCTTGATCCCAGGACCCCAGGATCATGACCTGAGCCGAGGGCAGAGGCTTAAACCACTGAGCCACCCAGGTGCCCCTGCACTTGTACTTTTAATCCAAATAGTTTCCCACATATTTGATTACTCCTTTACAGTGTATTCCTAGAAAGTAGATTTCTAGGCCCAATGGAAATCTTGATAATCTTGTGGAATTTAAGCATCTCTATAAAACAGGGCTTATAAACCTGAAAAATAGATCATTTGAGAATATTTTACTCATTAACACTTTGTTTACACCAAGCACTGAAAGAGCACTCATCCACATGGCCTGATTCGGGACTCAAGCCCCCCATCAGAAGGTGCTCTATGCCTACATAGGACACGTAGCCTCCTGTCCCTGCCTCCACTCATCTGTCTTACAAATAAGAACTCTTGGTGTCAGAAAGTTGTTGTGGAAATATCTCTGGGACAATGCATCTTATGAGAGAACAGGAGGACTAACTGTGGGTCTTTGCTCCTGAAGAAACTAAGCAAGGTACTCCAAAATAATCCTTAGTTCATCATGGTTTGGGTGAAAATGAGAGTACATTTTATTTTCTCTGCTGGGTATTCCTGGTGATAGACCCTTGGGTGTCTGGCACAGCACCTGCTCTTTCCTGGGGCCTTCATGGCCTATGCTGGGAAGGCTGCCTTAAGGAAATGGTTGGAAGAGTGGGTAGGACAGGAGATGGCCTCTTTTCACCTGCTGTAATGTGCTGTGTTTTTGCAGAAAGGAGAGGCTGATGCCATGAGCTTGGATGGAGGCTTCATCTACATAGCGGGCCAGTGCGGTCTGGTGCCTGTCCTGGCAGAAAACTACAGTAAGTGGAGGGGGTGCCTCTCTGTGTTTTATTTCCTCCACACCAGGGAGAGAGGAAATGGGAAAATCATAGCCTGATTTATACCACATTGGCCAGAAAGCTTTTGCTTACTGAGCACCTCCTACTTCCTAGACTCTGGGCTCTCTCATCTCTAATCCCCACACTCATCTTGAAGGATAGAGTCTTCCATCACACCTTTCACCGGGGGGACTGGCATCTTTGCACTGGGAAGTTCCAGCTAAAGGGGACCTCTGCAGAGGACAGCTGGGATTCTCAGCTGGGATTCCTGGCAGGTCTTCTTGCTTCCCAAATTCACACTTCTGTTGCCATGGTACAGGGATTCAAGTATAGTTGGCAGGCACCACTGTGGCCACAGGTCAAACAGAGCAAGAAACTTGAAATTTACAATTTTGGGCTAAATTCCAGAGGCCAGTGAGCAGAAGTGAATTTGTACAATCCAGATAGCCTGGACTGTTTGGGAATTGGTGAAATGTAGATTGTCTTCCTGGTTCTTTTTATTCTGAGCTGCACATGGGAATGGCATGACTTCCAAAGAATATATGCTTAATGACTTCTTCATTTTCTCCTCCAGAAACTCAAGGCCCTCAATGTAGCAGCACGGTAGAGGAAGGTGAGTTGGGGTTGGTAACCTCATGAGTTTAATTTGTATTGCTTTTGGGAAAGGGGAAGGTATGTTTAAATTCAAATCAAAAGTAGGTAAGGTAATGGAAGAGACTAATTTTTAGAATGCAAAAGAACCACAGAAAGATGATAACTGATAATGTTGGTTACTCTTTTACACTTGCCATTCCTTACATACAGGATTTCTCTTTAATTCTGTAAGTGGGTACCGTCATCCTTTAAGGATGTCTAAGAGGACCAACAGCTCACAGAGGTTACAAGTTGTCAGGGTTCCTACATCCTGCAAGCAAGTTCACACCCTCCCCAGCACTCCCAACTCCTTCACATTACATAAGGCCTGCACAGTTTTAGACGAGAGTTACACCAGCCAGGGAGTCTTGCTTATATGTGCCTGGCAGGGCTGAGCAGAGAGGCTCACACAGGCAGATGTCTAGGAGCATGAAATTACTGAGCCTCCCAGCCAGGGCTGGGCCCAGGAACCCAGGCCAATCTGGCTCTCAGCTGGTGCTCTGGTCGGGGCGGGGTGGGGGGGTGAATCTGGAAAGATGGGGCAGGAGCAAGACAGGAAATCTTGCCCAGGTGATCACTGGGTCCCACAGCCCCAGTGCTCAGACCTCTCTGGTCATTTCCCAGCCATTAGTGTGCAAGTCTGTCCTTGTGACTTCCCCTAGTACAACCTCTTAGCCTTTCCCCATCATTCTAGGACCCAGGCTCTTTGGCCAAAAATAGGAAGACTTGTTCTTCCTCCATGGATGATAAGGCTTCTCTTGTTTTCTGCTGTAAATAGTTGACTGAATTAACTCATTTAAAAAGTTGAAATCATGGGTTGATCTTCTATTTGCAGTTAAGGAGCAACAAGTATTTTCTGCTAAAGACGGCAGCTGTCATGATTTTGAATTTCTACTTCATATATTTATTTTGGTGCAAACCTCTATTCTCCATATCCCAAAATACCTGGCCAGAATATTCCCTGTAGTTTATTGGTCACTTACTACTCTTCCCTAATTGTTACTGTATAAAATGTTGGGAGTCACGTGCTCCTCAGGATCCACTCCTCTGATATTCCACAGTGAAGGGTGAGTTGCTAGTTTATAACTTTCATAGTTTTATGCATTTAGGGAAGTGTTATATACCAGCCATTCCTTTGATGATGTTTTCTTACTATTTTGTTTTTAATGTTCAGAATAATCTCCATCTGACAGAGTGACTGGTCACTTCATCTCAGTTTTGGGGAAGACCCTTTCAAAAACAGAAGGAATGATTTAGGATAATTTTGCTTTCACAGGCAGATGGCAGGCTTTGATTGTAGACATACTCTGGAGGGCCCAGGGGTGTTAATACTTTCTTTTTTGGTGTCTTTCTTGTAGGGTATAAGGCTGTGGCTGTAGTTAAGGCATCAGCAGATGCGAGCCTCACCTGGAACAATCTGCAAGGCAAGAAGTCCTGCCATACCGCAGTAGAAAGAACCGCAGGCTGGAACATCCCCATGGGCCTGCTCTACAGCAGGATCAACCACTGTGAATTTGGTAAGTGAATCCTGGGAGGATGCTGTGATAAGGGCCAGGCTGGAAAGAGGTGTTCTGGGAAAAGAGTGGTATGGAATAAAATGCTGTGTCCCTGGTTCTTTAGTAGTAAATTTTGGTTAAAGTGAACCTCAAGGAGATATCTAAAACAGATGGTAAGGTTGGGAAGGTGAGTCAGAATGGTTCTTTTTGGCTGCATATATGGCTTCAGTAGATATATGTTCACTTTCATCTCTCATGAAAAGGACCAGGTGAGCAGTCCATGGCTGATATGGTCATTAGAAGCCTAGGCTCCTTATCTCTTTCTGAGCCACCATTCTGAGCCTGCGGCTTCTGTTTTCAAGGTCAACCATGGTTGACATTCACGTCTGTGATTCAGGCAGCCTCCAGGAGCAAGGAATAAGGACAACTTGAAATATACGTCATCTGTGGTTATTGTGTTAAAGAAGACATCCAGGAAATAAAAATCAGTTACTTCAAGGAAATTTTCATTGCTCAGAACTTAGACTCATAGTCATACTTGGTTGTCAAAGAGGTTCAGGAATGTCATCTTTTATTGGGCATGTCTCTGCCACACCTATTTTGACCTTTGTTCAAATATTAAAAATAGAATGGCCATATGATTTAGCAATTTCACTTCTGGGTATTCATCCAAAGGAAATGGAAGCATTAATTGAAAAAGATGTATGCATCCCTGTGTTAATTGCAGCAGTATTTACTAGAGCCAAGATATGGAAATAGCTTAAGTGTCCATCCATTGATGAATGAATGCATAAAGAAAATGCCATACACATATACATGTATGTATATTATATTATATACATTATATACATATAAAACAAAATAAACTTTTAATCAGCCATAAAAAGGGATGAAGTCTTGCCATTTGTGATAACATGGATGGACCTTGAGGTTATTATGCTAAGTGAAATATATCAGGCAGAGAAAGACAAATATTGTATAATCTTACTTACATGTGGAATCTAAAAAAATCCCAAGCTCAAAGATATAGAGAACAGACTGACACTTGCCAAAGGTGGGGGATGGTGGAGCAGGCAAAATAGGTGAAGGGGCAAAAGGTATGAACTTCCAGTTATAAACTAAATAAGTCCTGGGGATGTAATGTACAGCATGGAGACTATAGTTAATAATTGCATTGCATATTTCAAAGTTGCATATTTTTTTGTTGCGTATTGCATATTTCAAAGTTGCTAAGAAAGTAGACCTTAAAAGTTCTCATCACAAGAAAAAAATTTTATAATGATGTATGGTGATGGATGTTAACTACACCTATTGTGGGGACCATTTTGCAATATATTGCAACATCAAATCACGTTGAACACCTGCAACTAATGTAATGTTATATGTCAGTTACGTCTCAATAAAAAATAATGGAGAAAAAATTAAAAGAATAAAACAACTAAGTCTTTGTTACTAAGGAACAGGGGATCTAAATGGCTGTTGGGTGGAAAATCCCTCCCACAGGCTTTTAAGCCTATGAGCTAGAAATGTGAGTGTGTGGGTCTCTTTAAGGTCTTGGCAGTCTCACTGAGGGAATGCCCAACATCTAGACCACTTGAAAGGGATGAGAAATCAGTTAATTTTATGTCCTCTGAATATCCTCAGGTATGAAAAGTCTACATGTAAGTTAACCACAGACAAATGCTTGCTTGCTTTCCTTTTTTTTTTTTTTAAGATTTTATTTATTTATTTGACAGTAAGAGAGAGAGAGAGAGAGGAAGAAAGAGAGACATGGCATGAATGAGCTGGGGGAGGGGCAGAGGGAGAAGCAGGCTTCCCACTGAGCAGGGAGCTTGATGTGGGGCTCGATTCCAGGACTCCGGGATCATGACCTGAGCCAAAGACAGATGCTTAACCGACTGAACCACCCAAGTACTCTAGACAAATGTTTTCTAATGGTTATTTACATCAGCTTCCTCCTTGCCACTTCCAAATATGTATAACTGCTTTAAAAGAAGAAGTCTCTAAAGACAGTTATGAACCAGACAAGTCCTGTGTGTGGGGACTTGGAGATAAGACCAGATTTCTGCACTGGAGTGTTTTCTGACATGAGAGGAAGCAAAATGCGGCTGGGGTGATATCCAGAAAGCTCTGGATCCCCACCAGCAACGGCACTATCTCTGCTTTTCTGAGCTTCCTGGCAATTTCACAGCCATGGGAGAGCAACTGAGCTGTGAGTAAAATCCCCTAGCCTTTAACTGAGTTCAGAGTTTAAAGTTCTAGCAAAGTCTCTTCTAAAAAATAACAAGGGAGGGACGCTGGGTGGCTCAGTTGGTTAAGTGTCTGCCTTCAGCTCAGGTCGTGATTCCTGGGTCCTGGGATAGAGCCCCACATCAGGCTCTCTGCTCTGTGGGGAGCCTGCTTCTCCCTCTCTCTCTGCCCCTCAGCCCTGCATGTGTTCTCTCTCTCTCACTCTATTTCAAATAAATAAAACTTAAAAAAAAAAAAAAAAGCAAGGGAAGGAAATTTCTGGAAATAATTAGCACAAGCTTGCAGAATGAGACTTGCAATTTTATCCCTTTTAAGTCAATTTTTACGTAATTTCCCTCTCTTCTTTCTTTAAATAAATGGTGACACATATAGGGTGCCCATGGAATCCTCTCTACCTGAATTATAATGGTCTACTAACTTCTATTCCCAGCCTCAATTAAGTTTCCTTTTAAAGCCTACAGCCTGGCAGGTCCTGAGTTGGTGGCAGGTCACTGAATATGTTCCACGTATCCTGGGCCATACACACCTGTTATGTATTAGATGAAGGCTATTCATATTGACTCAGGAGAAGCTGACCTCTTCTTGTCCTTCTGCACAGATAAATTTTTCCAGGAAGGCTGTGCCCCTGGATCTATGCGAAATTCCAGTCTTTGTGCTCTGTGCATTGGCTCGGCAAGTGGTCCAGGAAAGGAGTGTCTTCCCAATAACCATGAGAGATACTATGGCTACACAGGGGCTTTCAGGTGAGTATTTTAATCCTGACCCAAATACAGTAAGAAACCCAGCCCTGACAAGATTTCTTTTTAGGGACTAAGGTGAGAGTCTTACGTTCCTGGCCTGTTAGTCTTACATGTGTTAGGGTACCACAGTTAGCAATCATCTGTAGAAGCCTGTGTGAAGGAGCATCCAAGCCCCTACAAGACACTCTCCAGACTGGCAGAAAAGTGCAGATCAGAAGTTCTCAACAGGCAGTGATTTCTCCTTCAGGGGAATTTTGGCAGGGTCTAGAGATGTTTTTGATTATCAAATGGGGTTGGGTGCTATTGGTATCTAATTGGTAGAGGCTGCTAAACATTTTACATGCATAGGACAGCACCCTACAATAAAGAATTGCATGGGTCAAAATGTTACTATTGCCATGGTGAGGAAACCCTGCCATAGTTGAATACAGGAGTCAGGGTTCTGGTTCATGCTCTTCCATGCACCTTTGGGGAACCTAGAGCCAGCCATACTCACCTGGGAATGTACAAAAGTAAAGAACATGATTTCTACATTCCCAAATGCAATTCTATTTCATGGGATGTTTATTACTTTTATAAAGACACCTGTGCACCTTATTACCTTTTTAAAATATTTTATTTATTTATTTGACAGAGAGAGAGAGAGAAAGAATGAACAATCAGAGGGAGCTGCAGGGAGAGGGAGAAGCAGGCTCCCCAATATGTGGCTTGATCTCAGGACCCTGGGATCATGACTTGAACCAAAGGCAGACATTTAACCTACTGAGCCACCCCAGGCGCCCTGACCTTATTACTTTTTAACTGTCTTTTCTGATCCAGACTTGTGTTAGTAGTTCAGGAGTCCATCAACGGCACAATGATAGTGGTATTGTAATTGAGCTTCTCGGTAGTGAAGGAGAAAACAAAGGTTATCCTAATTCTCCAGTTAGAGCAACCTTGTGAGTTTGTGCAAATGCAATTCACAGTCCACAAGTTTCCAATTTTTACAAAGTAGAATGTGAGTAGGGAATCACCTTAATGGAACACTGCCCCTCTGATACCTCTAATGATGACAGGGAAATGCTGTAACTCCACTGTGCCAGAAGTTAGCATTCAGTGTGTGGGAACTGAGATTGCATGACCACAAAGCAAACTGGAGGTTTTTCTTGTCTGTATTAGTTACATGAGTAATATATAAGATTAGTGATAGAATGGGAGTCACAACTGCTGATGTCTGATGGTTAGCCCTGGGTCTACAAGCTGACCCTCCTGAATGACACATGTGTCTCTGACCGGCTCTCTTCTTTCTCCCTGTCTGGCACTCTGCAGGTGTCTGGTGGAGAAGGGAGATGTGGCCTTTGTGAAAGACCAGACGGTCATGCAGAACACTGAAGGTACATTCACATGCTCCTCTGTCCCCACAAATTGGGGTTGCTGGGCTCACTTATGCTCAGGATGTCTTTGTGGATGTGTTATGGACTCTGTTAGGCTTCAGAGCTCTGATTCTCAACCTGTTTGTTCAGTAAAGACAGAGATGTTTATTGGGGTAGGCAGAATAGTGAGGACCGTGAGGTTCTGGTGGTTCTGAATTCTCTTCCAGGAGAATTCACCCCATAGGTGCAGACATTGCCTTTCCCCTAAATACTTCAGAGCACATTTCCTAAGAACGAGGACATTCTCTTACCTACCTACAATGTGATTACCAAGATCAGGAAATTTATACTAACATGGATTTATACTCACTGTGTTCACAGTCCATATTCAGATTGGGTGAATTATTCCCGAAAGGTCCTATTTAACTATTTCCTATATTTCTGGGTCCAGTATATATTCCAAATAAATTCTAGGTCCCCTGAGAACACATAGAGACAATAGTACACCAGTGGGAATGAACACCAAGATCTTGGTTTCTAGAACCATTCTCCAATAGGATGAGCCAGGGCACCTTGGAAAAATAGGTGATTCTAGGGCTGGGCAGGAAAAATGAAGGTGAGCCTGGAACATTGTGCTTAAGATGTTGGGATATGTCAAAATATACAGGAGCCATTTTTAAAGCCCTCCTACTGGCCAAATCTGGGACATCTTGAACACTAAAAGAAATAATAATGGTAGTAAGAATAAAGTAGGAAGAACATAGGAATACATGAGTCTATCCTGATTAAACAAATGAAGGTGAAGGGAAAGATCTTCCTTATTGTAGAACAAGAATAAATGTAGAAATAATCATGAAGTTAAAAAAACTATCATTTGGCAAGTAATATAGTAATAATTGTTTCAAGCAAGAAGCATCAATGGGTACTAAAACTAGTGGGTGAATATTAGATGCTGTGACACTGAAACACCAAACAATTTCTTTTTTAAGTTGGTAAGAGTATTCCACCTACCCCCTCTGTGTCACTAACTGCTTAGAGAACCCGCTACAGGCCAGGCAGATATTACCTCACTTCCTTTCACATGTCCCTGTGCCCAACCTCAGCTCTTCCCGGAAACTCGCCTAGAGTGAACTAGCTCAGCACTGACTCCTCCGAGAAGCCTTCTCAGATGGCATCCATCCCACAATAGAATCTTCTGTCCCTGTGGCTAGCATTATTGGGTTCATCTCATTCTGTGATAAACTGAGGCCACAGAAACTCTTTTGAGCTCTTTTTTTTCCCTCTTATATCCCAACACTAACTATACTAAGTGGCACACAGAAGCTGCTAAGTGCTTACTTGAAGGAATACTGTGCTGGCTAATTTTTCTTTCTTCTCTTCTATTATTTTTGCTTTTTCCTTTAAAGGCTGTCTTTTTTCCTACTACCTGAGTGTTTCCCTAAGATTGGTTCTCTGTTATCCCTTGAAAATAAGTTTTGGGGGGTACTCCTCTGAGTGGGGCTTCTTTTGGCTTCGCCTCTCTACCCTGCAATGACTCCAAAAGCCTTACACCCTGATGACAACATACAGCAGAGGCCTAACCTCCCATCTAAATAACATCCCAGAGCCTCTAATTGCCATGTGGTCGGTTTTATGTACAAAGCTCATTGGCACTGCAGCCTCAATCTCTGTAAGCCCAAACTCCTCATATTTCTCTCAAAATCCACTCCTCTTCTCACAGCCTCTGTCCCTATTGAGGACTTTATCATATGCCCTGCCAGTCAGGCCTAGGTTAGTCTCTTGGTGGTCAGTACAGTGGGCAGTACGTGTAACACACCTTACACGCCTACAACCATGCCTCCTCCAGCCAGCTCTCCCTAATGAATATGTTCTCACCAAGCTGGTTCGGCTCACACAACATGCAGAATGTGCTCCACAAAATATAAAATATTATATATGTTTTATTTTGTAGAGCACATAATATATTATATATATAATATATATATGGGTACATATATATTATATATAATATATATATATATATATGTATTTTTTTTTTTGGTATGTGAGCTGTTTTCCTCCTCCAATAAGACTGCAGCTTGCAGAAGGCATGCAACATAGTGTTGAGCAAATTCTTACATTATGAAGTGGAACAGAATTGGTTTGGAGAGAATGATGGTGGATTTCATTTGGAAGGAGCTGAGTTGGAGGGACTGGTAAGAAAGGGGAGGAGAAATATTAGAAGATGAGCAAAGACGTATGAAGTTACTTGTGGGAGAGGCATAGGCAATTTGGAGTTTTCTATTAAAACTGTAAGTATATATTTGAGGAGAGTAGGCAAAGAGGTATTTTTATTTTATATATAATACATAATTTTATGATAGTGAAGTCACATATTAGTTGCTCAGATAAAAAATTAAATGAGCATTAAATAAAGAAAAAGATTTGCAATTCTAACTTTTAGATGAGAACTAAAAATTGGGAAAACATATTTGAGAATTGCCTCAGGAGGAAGGAGCTGAAACCCTGAAAATGGGTGCAATTTTCTTTTTTTCAGAGAGAATACAGAAATCATGAAGCTAGGGGCTAAGAACAGGGTACAGATCTGTATGCACAGAGGCATGTGTACATTTTCATGTAGAACCAGTATGAGTGTATCAGATTTAGAACACTCGTCCAGTTTGCAAAAGGGCCTTTGGGAAAGTTCTTTTGCTTGCTAATGCCAGATGGTATTGCACAGAGATTATGAGCCTGCTTAGAGGGTTGCATTCTTCATATGGTAGAGTAATAAGCCCAGATGCTTTGGAACTCAGTAGAAATGAAGATGTTTTTGAACATCATCCAAGAATATATAGCTTACTTTCTCCTGGTGAGGCGGGGCAGTTAGTTTGGGAAGAGGTGGTTGCTAGGAATTCCTGGTTGAGTGTGAGTTGAATCTGACCTATGTAGATGTGAGTGTCTCTTCCTCTCCACATCACTGTGACCCCAGTGTGTGTGATTCTGCTGGCCAATGGCCCCAGGTCCTTCACAAGTCCGTGGGTTGGTCACCTCCTCTCAGTGAGGGCACCTTGACCAAAGCTGTAAGCTGTGACTGACCCACCTTCTCTGTCTCTAGGAAGGAACACTGAAGATTGGGCTAAGAATCTGAAGGAAAAAGACTTCCAGCTGCTGTGCCCTGATGGCAGTAGGAAGTCTGTGAGCAACGCTGACAACTGCTTCCTAGCCAAGGCCCCAAATCATGCTGTGGTCTCACGGAAAGATAAGGCATCTTGTGTTAGCAAAACATTACTTGACCAGCAGGTATGGACCAGCCAGGGCCTCCCATTCTTTCCTCCTGGGTGGGTATTATTTTGGGGAGTTCAGTGCTAAATGCAGCCCATACTCAAGCATTCTCTTTCTGAAAACTAAAATAGGGAGGCTCGTTTCTTAGGCTCAGCTCTACTTATAAATCCAGGTTGCTGGAGATTAGCTCCCATGTGATCCACCTGTTTTGGGTCCACACATCTGCTTTCTTGCTCAACCCTGACCTTGCTCTGTGGTACACTCAATTTTCTCCACCTCTATCCTTTTTGAAAACGAAGGAGAGTGATCCTGAGTGCCAGCCCTCCATGATATAAGTCATGAAAGGTGGACTGTATTTCTCTTGTTTAGAGAGACCAAGAACCATTCCAACAGCCAGAAAAACACAGGATCCCTGTCCTCAGGGAGCTTGCCCTCTGGGGAGAACAATCAATCCAGGGCAGCACTGCCAGGGAGGTGGGGGTGGGGGAGGCTGCTTGAATATTTTAAGCATCCTCTACCCACAAACACCATTTTGCCCTCAACAACAGCTTCCTGCCTGCCATTAGTTGTTCTTTTTTAAAATTAAGATAGCATATCTTTATGGGTCCTCTTAAGGTAAATAATAATAATTAGCATTCAATGGACATTTTTTAGGTGTTAGATGTTAAACTTTCCATATTCATCATTTCATTATAATCCTACATTCATTCATTATAATCTTAGAAGACCTAGAGTTAAGCCTCGTAGGACAGTATCAAAGATGCAGTCAGACATGAAATTTAACAACTACCTGTACCACCCCTCATTGGGGGCGGGGGCTCACATTTACTATCTTTTTTGACAGTAATACTTGGAAGGGACATGTTTCTGTTCTCTCATTTCCTGGAAGCAGTCCCTGAAGCCATAACCAATGAAATGGGGAAGGAGTGACTGGGTGGGTGGGAGGGACCTCCCAGAGGAGATGAGACCAGGATGAACCCTATAGAGGATGCTGGGGCCTCGAGAAAGCATGAAGCTGGGGCCAAAAATGGGTGAATGCCAGGTGAAGGATATGGAAACACCCCGAGGCATCCTCTACGGCTCCCTTTCGTCCCAGGGCTGGTTTCCAGCTTCTATCCCCCTCAACCCTATCCTTGTATTCTCAGCTGCTCGCTGCCACAGGTCCTCATGCATTTTCCATCCATTTGACAGGTTATGTTTGGAGGAAATGGAAATGACTGCTCGGGAAAGTTTTGTTTGTTCCACTCGAAAACCAAGGACCTTCTGTTCAGGGATGACACAAAATGTTTGGCCAAACTTCCAGAAAGCACAACATATGAAAGTTACTTAGGAGCAGCATATGTCACAGCTGTTGCTAACCTGAGACAGTGCTCCACCTCAAGTGAGTAGGGGGAAAGCATGGGGGAAGCTGATAAGCAAACACGGGGAGGGAGGGGGGGAGCATTTCTGGGTGGTGGGTAGATAAGGAGGAATGGGTTGTGGCCCTCCGGGGATTAACAATGGAAATGGGCAAGATGAAATGATGAGAGAACACGGTAATCCCCGCATGTGTGAAAGGCTACTTGTATGGGTAGATGGTAAGGCAGACACAGGCTCAGGGCACTAAGGTAATGAACCACTCAGACATGAAGAAATTCCATATTATTACTAAGACAAGGAAGAAGCTGCATGTGCCCATGCCCATTGCTCTGCAGAAATGCCTTTTTTTTTTTTTTTTAGATTTTTATTTATTTATTTGACAGAGAGAGATCACAAGTAGACAGAGAGGCAGGCAGAGAGAGAGAGGAGGAAGCAGGCTCCCCGCCGAGCAGAGAGCCCAATGCGGGACTCGGCCCCAGGACCCTGAGATCATGACCCGAGCCGAAAGCAGAGTCTTAACCCACTGAGCCACCCAGGAGCCCCAGTAAACTCTTTTTTATACAGAGCTGCATCATCCAATAAATACAGTAGCCTCTAATAATCTATGACAATTTAAATTTAAATTAATTAAAATTAAACAAAATTAAAAATTTAGTACCTCAGCCACACCAGCCACAATTCAAGTGTTCAATGGCTACACGCAGCTCCAGATAGGTGAGCAAAGAGAAAGTTTCCATCATCGCAGAAAGTTCTTTTACACAGCACTACTCTTGTGAGCTTAACAATGACAAATTTTATAACCATAAAGTTGCTATACCTACTGCTCATCTAGAACACCATTTTTCTAAGCATTACAATACAATAAAACACACCTTTGCACTGTAACTATGTTGGACATCATTTAATCACTTGAAATCATTTGGAAGATGTGGGAGAAGAACATGTGCATGGAGGGAGGTTGTGCTATAACTTTTGTGTGCATGTAAGTGAGCCATGGTCCTTAAAATACTGATTCCCAGGCCCTGGGGAGACTGATTCAGCACGTCTGTGCCAGGGTCCCATAATTCCAATGTAAGGAATGTGCTTACCAATAGCCACTGCTGTAAACACCTAGGTTACATTCACCTACCCTATATGCTTCATAAGGGGAGAAAGTCTGGCTCTGCTCTTCTCTGCTCCTTCTCCAGCCCCTAGCAAAGGAAACTGGCATGTTCTAGGTGCTTGCTATATTAGTTCCTCACCTCTCTAAGGAGATCAGAGAGGACAGTCCTACCAGGTTCCTCCCAGCTACATGGATTTAGGTGTGGGAGCCCTGCCTATGAGACACAAGGTAGGGGATGATACAGGGCAGGGAAACCATGTTACCATCCTTGCTGTGTGGTACTGCCCAGAAAGACATAGGAGCTGTGCAGGCAAGTGGAGAAGGCTACTGAGAGAACGGCCTGGTCCACCCATCAGACCCCCAATGGGTCTGAGTGCTTTTATATCAGGCTTAACTAATGATTCACTCAACAGAAAATAAGTATAATAGGCTTTTGACTGCCCTACCTCTCTTCTCTGTCCCACAGAACTCCTGGAGGCCTGCACTTTCCACAGATATTAAAATCCAAAAGATGGAGCCACACCAGATGGAGATGGGAGCTCTCGTGACCCATAAGCTTCCCTCTGGGTCTCACTGGCCTGAATGGTTTGTTTGGTTTCACAGTTCGGTGGTGGTACCTCTGTAGAACATAAAATAAAAATTATTATTGGTGTTATCTTTTAAAAACTTCATTGTTTTCTAAATGTTTGGCCTGGAAGGATTTTTTTTTTTTTTTTTTTTTTAAGTACTGACTAAATACATGTGCAAATGAGCCCTTCCTTCAGAGCTTAATGTTCATCTGACCCCTTCCATAGCTTTGGTCTTGGTGTTACAGCCACACCTCCTGGGTACAGTTCAAGTAGAAATTCTTTCTGAAAGGGGTCTGCATGCTTACTGTAATAGAATCAAGTGTATGTGGTTGTATGTGTGTGTGTTGCTAGCGAGGGGTTAGGAAGGAGAGTGAGATATTGAGATGGAGTGTTCAGAAGAGGACAGAAAAAGAATATAGAAGACATATATTTTTAAGATATTTTAAATGAATTTCATCAGGTATATTGAATCAGGTCCTGATTCTAGCAGGTCAGAAAAGTGAACCACTGGAACATCTGAAATTATCGCTTGACCCTGATTCCCACAGTAGTCACTGCCTTGTCTCCTCACTCTTTCCACGCCTCACTTATTAATGGTTGAATACCCAGAAACCGGTCTTCTGCTCCACTCACTTCCTTGCAGCTACCCTAGCCAAGGTCACTGCCCATCTGCCAACTGTGAAAACCAATTTTAATTCTTTCAATCCTGAGTCTGTTAACTGCATTTGATACCGCTGACCACTCACCAATCACATGACTGGAGTCCCTGAGTCTAAGATTGTTTCCACCATGCTTTGGAGCTACAGGGAATAGAAGAGGGAAAAATATATCTGGTAAATGAGACATTATAATTAATGGAAGAGATGGGAAAAATTGCTTCACTACATTTATTTCATTGTAACTCTCCATTTGCTGTTTGAATGAAGAAGCACAATACTTTCAGCAAGCAGCAGTGAGTATCTGCCTGTCCTTCCTTTGGGTTCATCTTCACATACCTCCTGGAAGTGTGTGTTGGTGCGGATGTGAGAGGACAGGAAGCAGCTGATCCTCTCCTGCTCTGATTCCTGAGAACCGCACCACCTTCCCACTTGAGTATGGAAGGCATGCCCATTTCTTCTGCCTTTACCCAGGAAATATACTGGAAATTAAAAAAAAAAGTCTGTGTCTTCTTAAAACCTTCTTTCTTTCATCATTCCCAAACTTTACCACCAAGGCCGATCTTTCTCATTCACATAGCTCTGACTAAAAATTCTTACACAGTTGGGATAGTAATGGTAGATGTTCCCCCATTTGGCCCTTCCTCCTTCCCTTCACTTTCAGCTCCTAGCAGAGGAATCAATGGTTATTGTAAAGGAGCTCTGTGTGTGTGTGTGTGTTTGTGTGTGTGTGCACGCACATTGTGGGTGGTGGATACAGAGCAGGGCCCAGGACCACAAGAAAGAAAGAAAAAGAGAATGTGGTAAAATTACTGTCATTTCTGATAGTCTTAACTGATAATGCTAATTTAAAATAAAGTAGTTGGTTTACTTTCTTTAGCCTCACATCTTAAATATCCTTTCTTAACCTGGAGTCCCCGTATGCCTACATTTATCAATGAAATGCCTGGAAAATGAATTGTACTATGTTAGAGCATACAGTTAAGCATAAAGGAGCCCACTGCCTGGGCTTAATGGATAAGTTATTTAACCCCTGCCTCATTTGCCTCTGTAAAATAGAATAATGGGTTGCTGTGAGGATTAAGCAAATTAATAAATTAAAATGATTTCAAACAGTGCCTGGCACTAGCAAGTACTCATTAATGTTAGCAATTACCGTCTAACCCTCTTCTCCATCTATCTGTCTTGCTTCCAAACCCATCCCTCTACTCCATTCCTCCCCTCACTCTTCCCTCCGAGTTTGTTTTTCATTCAAGTCCTCATCATAGGAGCCCCTTTGTTACAAGAGCTGCTGCTGACCGCTTCCAGGACATGCCTTACTCCTGTGCCACTGACTCTTCCTTTTTAGGTATCTTTGTGGGTTCCTTTCTCCTCACTTTTCATTCCGTCCCTGATTTTAATGACAACTTACTTATGCTTGAAACTCAGAGGAAAATATAACACCTATTGCTGAGACTTTACCTCTGTTTATTCTATCACCTGGTTTATACAAGATTTTAAAATGCCCCGAGGCACCTGAAACTCAATATATAGAAAAGAGAGGAAATTTTCATTCTGGTTATGACCTCAACCCCTCTAGTTCACTTTATGCACTCTGATCTTTTTAGTATAAAACATCAACTACTTCAGATGCAGTCTTGGTAACTCTCCATCTTAACTCAGCACACCCAAATAATCACCACATCCTATATATTTTCCTTCTACACATCTTTCAGATCTTTCGTCTCATTCCACACCTACACCTGTTTTCCTGGTTCAGACCCTGCACATCTTTTGCCAAAACACAGCAACAACTCCCAGCTGGTCTCCCTGCCTCAGTCTTTCCTCTCTCAAATCACCTTTCTCCATTTATCTGCCAATCATCTCTATTACCCCCAACGGAAACTTCTTATCCCATTCTGGATGTTGTCTAGGTTCCTCAGCATAGCACACAATCACTTCAGGTCATACCTGCCAACCTTTTCTGCTTCATCTCCTGCCACTTCCGCTGAAATGACATCAGCTTAGTGACAGACTGCAAACTAGCAGCTCCTAGGTGGGCCACTTCTGGGCCCCCAAGGTGTTATATTTGGGTGACAAGTTTTTGTTGTTGTTGTTGGTAGTGGGTTTTTGTTTTTGTTTTTGTTTTTAGTGTTTTTCATTACTTGATGAAATTTGGAAAAGTGGAACATTTCCCTTCTGGCTTCTCTGGAAAAACTGGAAGAACAGGCCACTATGGCCCCACATACCTGCCTGGCAGAAGTAGAGGCTGTCCACTCTGGGCAAGAAGGACAGCCGCACTTTTCAACAGCTTCACCCCACGCACTGATTTTCCTAGCTGCTTCCCACAATGTCGAAATCTAAGTTGCAGCCCTAGACTTACAGTATAGGGACACTGAATTGCTCGTTTTCTTCTACATAGAGCACTTTTTCTCCTTTTACACTTGCAGAGGCTGACCCATACCTCATGGCTCAGTTCCTCTCACTTTCCTCCACGAGCTTTTCTCTGAACCAGTTAAGGATTATAAGTCCCTTTCTGTATTCCCATATCGCACCGTACATTCTCCGTCACATCCCATGCCACATTATACTCAGATGAAATATTTGTGTAATCCTTGAGTTCCTCACAAGACTCACCTCGGGAAGGGAGCGACTGGAAATTCTCAGTAAAGATTTCTTAAGCCATTCATTTTATTCATCCATCATTCCGTCAACACCCATGAAGAGGGAGGAGATATTCAACTCCTACCTTAAGGGATAAGGAACGTCACTCGTGAAATTCCGCGAAACGCGGCTGGTTCACTGGAAACAGTGCGCAAGAGAACTGCAACTCCCATCAGGACCTTCGGGATCCCCGCCCCTGAAAGAGGAAATATAAATTGAGGACTACCACTCCCGTGATGCTCCGCTTCGGACGCCTGCGCAGAGTCTAGGGCCACGTGGCTTTCGCGGCGCTGGAGACCACGAACCTCAGCCATGGCTTCCGCGGACACCCGGCGGGTGGCGAATGGCGGCAGTGTCGGGGGAGCCTTCCAGCCCCACCTAGACTACTTGCGGCAGGAGCTGCAGCAGAGGGACCCGACACTGCTGTCAGCCGTGGTGGCGCTTCTCGCGGTGCTGCTGACGCTGGGTAAAGAGGCGGTGGGTGGTTTTGACGGGTGTACGGCCGGCGGGGTTCCGAGCTTGGACTGGGCTTGAGCAGACCGCGGACGAAGGGCGGCGAGGGCACCTGGGGGGCATCTAGAAGGGAGACTCACCTCTTATACCAGCCTGCCTTGGTGCCTGAAGCACGGGGAGTAACGTTCCATTAAAGAAGATTGCCTGCGACACTTGGAGTGACGTCCTGGTCCTTGGGGGCGCGGGTTATTCTTCCTTTATGGGCCCTGTTACGCCTGAGCGCGCGGTCCTTCCCTCCTCCCGGACCTCCCCCCCACCCCCCACTTTGCTCTTACTGCCAAGACTCACGCGGTCTTCACTCCAACAAATTTGCGTCCTGGGCGCTGCGGATACACAGTAAGTCAAGATTGCACTTGAGAAGTCCACGATCCGCAGACACAGAAAGGTTGACAGTTGATAGTGGCTGGCACTTAGAGGAGTCCCTAATGATAGAGTAGAAGGTTAGTTAGACAGGAGGTGGAGGCAAGGACGTTGATAAGTGGGTTACACATTGAAAGCCTGGGGGCAGAACATCACATTTATGGGAATCCAAGAACCCAGAGCTCCGTTCACTCAGCTTGGACTCTCCCACCCGTAACACTAACAACAGTAATGATTATAGTGATGGTGAAAACAATAAAAGTTAAGTTCCAGCTGAATGAGGTGTTCTGTGATTAACTTCTGTTAATTTCCCTACCCCAGCAATACAGGTGTACTGTTGATGATCAAGGCATAATTTTGGTTGTTTTTCTCTATTCGCAGTGTTCTGGAAGTTCATCCGGAGCAGAAGGAGCAGTCAAAGAGCTGTTCTTCTTGTTGGCCTGTGTGACTCTGGGAAAACATTGCTTTTTGTCAGAGTAAATGCTTTGATTTACACCTCTTCTAAAGTTAATAGGAAATGTTAGGCCATATCGTTATTCCTGTGAGGTCATAGTTCATTCTGGAAAGGAAGCTGATGCTCACAATTTGGGGGTTAATTCTTGATTCACTTGGAAAGACTTGAAAAACTTGAACAGGCTCTTGAAAAATTCATAAACTGGGATTTCTTGACCGTTTCTGTTTTCTTGCACTTGCCAGTTACTAACATTTAGTATTTATCTCAAAAGTTACATAGTTTTATGGAACTACTTTCTTGTGGTGTCCAAGGATGCCAGAACAGTTGAAGAGATAGAAGACAGTGATCTGTATAGGGTGTATAATCTTGTTTAACAAACTTGTCTGAGAACTTGTCAAAGAAGTTTTTTAAAAGGTTGATTCTTTGACGTATTGGGCCACTTAGCCATCTTTTCACTAATATTTAACCTACTATTTTAAACAATTTTTCGTTATGGAGAGAAGCAGAGGTTTTCTTATTATTCTTCCTTTTGAGAAGATAAGTTATTTCTTTTCTACTACAGAAATGTAACTTGTAATCATTTGTGATGATTAAAAATGTTTATGGAAGTTTGGTGAATTTGGCCACTAAGGATTTGAAACTAGGTTTTTTGTTTCTGGTTTTTTTTTTTGTTTTTGTTTGTTTGTTTGTTTTTTTGTTTTTTTGTTTTTTATCGTGGAGGGGGAATGAAGATGCAATGAATTAGATTTTTCTACAAGGGAAAAACAGTTGTTGCAAGCAACATTCATTTATTTGACCTGACCAACTGGAGAGTTAGAACAAAATTACTCTCTTTAGGTTTGCTATTTACTCTGATCTCCCTCAAATTGTGTTTTTTGTTTTTTTTACAGTTGTTAACTGGCCTTTACAGAGACACTCAGACATCTATCACTGACAGCTCTGCTGTGTATAGAGTCAACAATACCAGGGTAAGGGGTTTGTAGAATGTTGGGAGTCTGACAATTTTACTTTGGTGCATCAGGGAAGGATATTTGTTATATGAATTAGTCTGATGGTTTAGGTACCATTCATAGCTTATTTTTATGGATAGATAGAGGTCATGTAACAAATTCTGCTTTTGGTCATCCAAGCAATCTTGCCCTCCCCTGTTTTGTTGTACTTCATACACACTGATGTTATATCATTTTACTAGTTTTTGTTTCTATGTCTTCTTTCCAACTTTACCATGAGTTCTAGAGGGTGAGCATTAAGCCTTTTCCTTTATATTTTGAAGTGGTAATATATGTATATGGGACAAAAATTCAAAAGGTTAAAAGGAATATTCAGTGAAAAGTAATTTTGCCTTTCCTGTCCCTACTAGGTCTTCTCCTTAGAGGTAATAACTTACTATTTTCCTATGGGCTCTTCAGGTGGTCTGTGCATATGCAAACCTATCTATACATCTGTTAATTTTTTTTCTTAAGATTTTATTTTTAAGTAACTTCTTCACCCAACACAGGGCTTGATCCCACAATGCCGAGATCAAGAGTTGCCTGCTCCACCAGCTGAACCAGCCAGGCATCCCAATTATTTTCTTTCTTAACTCTTTGTTCTGCCCACTGTTTTTTGGTTTTTTATTTTATTATTATTTTTTTAATTTTAATTTAAAAATTTTTTTAAAGATTTGTTTATTTTAGAGAGCAAGAGAGAGCATGAGCGAGAGAGAGAGAACACCCATGCACAAGCCAGGAGAGGGGTAGAGGGAGAGGTGAGGGGAGAATCTCCAACAGACTTCTTGCTGAGCATGGACCCTGACCTGGGACTGGATCCCAGGACCCTGAGATCAGGATCTTAGCTAAAACCAAGAGTTGGGTGCTCAGTCCACTGAACCACCCAGGTGCTCCATATTTTATTTATTTATTTATTAATTTTTTTTAACAATATGACTAATACAGTTGTGTTGTTTTGTTTTTCTCCCTCATTTGTACACATAGAACCACCTGGTTGATTTGTGAGCCACATAGTATTCCATTATGTGGCTGCACCATTCAATTAAGTTCTTGTTTAAGAACTCTTTTAACAAACATTTAGTTTGTTGTTACAATCTTTTGCTTTTACAGTGTTGCAGTGGACATCTTAAAGAGTATACATGAGTATATTTAAAAAATACCAGTAAGGAAATCATGAGAAGAATGTTTTATGTACCTGTTTAGCTCCAGAGTATGGATAGTGACTGCCAAGTCTATTGTAATGAATAAGTATTTGGTGAGTGGAAGAAAGGCTGGGGGCTGGTTGGAGGGGTAGGTGTATAGATGAATGAATGAGAATGGTTAAGAGACCTTTTCTCCTTCTTTGTGCTCCTTGCCCCTTTTCTGGTGCCTCCAGAATTAACATTGTAAACAAAGATAGACATTCTTCTAGATATCTTACAGATATTTATTGCTTTTTTTTTTTCAATAATGGTACTCTTTCTAGCCCAGTCCTTTTTAAACTCCCAAGATTTTACATTTTGAAAGGTCAGATTTGGGAGATCTTTAATTCTTGGGGGACTTGTGCCAGGTTTTTTTAAGTGGGATATTCCTGGGCATACTTTAGACCCTTACTTTACAATGGAATAGCCATTGGCTGTGTGAGACATATTAAGCATCTGAAATGTGACTAGTCCAAATTGAGGGGTACTGTAAATGTAAAGTGTACACCAGATCTTGAACTTGGGATGAAAAAGTAAAATATCAACAATTTCTTGATTTTTTTTCCCCTTGTTTAAAAGATACTTTAGATATGTTGGGTTAAATAATACATATTATTAAATTAACTTTGTATCTTTTTACTTTTTTCCTTTTGGAAAACTTAACATTATATATGAAACTTGCATATTTTTACTGAAAATGTAGCGGTGCGTGGGTGGCTCAGTTGGTTAAGCAGCTGACTCTTGATTTCCACTCAGGTCATGATCTTAGGGTTATGAGATTGAGCCCTACATATGGCTTTCTGCTAGGCATGGAGACTGCTTAAGATTTTCTACCTTTCCCTCTGACCCCGCCCCCTGCCTACTCATGTGTGCTCTTTCTAAAAAAGAAAAAAGGAAATAAAGAACATTCCTCCCTTCTTTATTACCTCCTCCCACCCACCCCCCTCATATGTTTTGGATGTAGTCTGTCTCTCTCAAGTTAGTAATGTGTCTGATATTGTGTCTTTTGAATTGCTTGTGGTGGTATAGTGGTGATTATGAAATGTTGTCCCTAGACTTTTATCAGTATTTTTTTTAAAGCTACCATACATCATATTTTTACCCATGAAAGACTGCACAGACTACATGATGGCTCATAATGAATCCAACTGTAATTATGTGAGATCAGTGCATGATACTGACTCCCTCCTGCTGAACAGTGGTTAAGGCTGGCTATTGATGAGGTAGAACATCTGAGAAGTGTTCGTGGGCCTGATAATTGCACCAGGGTTATACGAGAGTCTTACTGAGCACAGCTACATCCACACTGAACCTGAGCTCAAGGCCTGAAATGAATAGCTCTTAGGTGGGTGCTTAATGAGTCAGCTCAGTATGGGCAGAACACCTCACTGTTTGAGTGATTGACACAAAATATTGACAGTTGGAACAAATAAACGGTGTGTCTAGTTGGCAGATATTCAAAAGTTAAATTATAGTGGACATGTAAAGGAATGTTTTGTTTTTACAAAGGTTGGGGATCCCCGTAATGGTAACATGCTATATAATAAAGTATAGATCTCCTGTCTCTTCATTTAGTTTGTGAATATTTACTGCTGTTTTCACATGTTTTTGTTTTTATTCATACTAATGTATTTCCCCAGGCTCAGGTGGACTACACTTCCATGACTCCCCCAGATAGGGTCATTTTCTCACATACCCTGGGAACATTTATCAAAGTTGTAATTTTACATTTATTTGTAATTTTACATTGTGTTGATATTTCTGATTATATTATAAACCCTGTTGGAATAGGGATTATGTTTGTTTTTGCTCACTGTTAAATCCCCGGAGCCTCTACTAATGATTTATAAATACAGGATGCTTTGTGAACATTTGTTTGATTCATTAATTAATTATGGTGAACATTTTTTTGATTCATTAATAAAAATGGATGCTGTTCTGGTACCTGAAATCTCATATGAGAAGTTTATGTTGTGAATGTGAGCCAGGACCAAAACACTGATTTAATGTTATTGCTGCCATCCTTAGGCCACTAGCCTGACCTTGATTGATCTCCCAGGCCATGAGAGCTTGAGACTTCAGTTCTTAGAGCGTTTTAAGGCTTCAGCCAGGTAAGTAGGATTTGGAGTGAACTTGCCTGAATCTCTTATCAGTGTCACCCATACTTGCACTGGTAGGGAGAAGAGCATGGACCCTGGAGTCAACCATTTCTGGGTTGCAAGCCCACCTGTACTATGATTTTATGAAGATTTTATGAGATAATGTTTGAAAATATTTCCTTTTTTTTTTTTTTTAAAGATTTTATTTATTTGACAGAGATCATAAGTAGAGAGAGAGGAGGAAACAGGCTCCCTACCTAACAGAGAGCCCGATGTGGGACTCGATCCCAGGACCCTGAGATCATGACCTGAGCTGAAGGCAGAGGCTTAACCCACTGAGCCACCCAGGCAGCCCTGAAAGTATTTCTTAAGAGTGTTCAGAAAGTGTTAACCCTCACCATATTAGTAAATTTTTCATTTACTTTGAGGACAAATTTTAATGTGTGGAACTATTAAAATCTGAAAAATGAATTGGAAGGCTAGGCAAAATCCTAGAAGTTATTTAAATCCAACATTATATATTTCTGTTCTTAAATTACCTAAATTTAGTGCCTCAAAAGTAGAGAACAAATTTTTATATTTCTTTTACTATTGTCCTAATGTTACTCTTAAAATTCTTGTGCTGCAGTTGAAGATACTTGTTTCTTGTTTTGTCTCTAACTAACACTGATAAGAACTTAAGAGGAAAATCAATATACCACATTTCATTGATATTAAAATATTTTAATATCTGTGAAATTTGAATGCTAGTTACAGTTGTTTGTGTCATAGTTTAATTGGTAGTATTTTCCCTTTCTTAGTTGTACTTGAAATAATAATGTGTCTTTTAATTGGTGGAATCTTAGGTTTGATGGAATGAGGCAGTTGTTTCTTTCCTTATTTTTGAAGAGGTCTTGACTTTTATTTTGTTGTTGCTTCCTTGCCCACAAGATGGTGGTGATGAGCAATCTGTTCTGCAAATTAAAAAAAAAAAAAAAAAAAAAGACTATTTTTTAGAGCAGCTTTAGGTTCACAGCAAAATTGAGCAACAGGTCCAAAGACTTCCTATATTACTCTGCTCTCCACACACATGCATAGCCTTCCCTGTTATAAGCATCCTTCTCCAGAGCAGTTTGTTTGTTACAACTGATGAACTCCTACACCGACACATCGTAATCATTCTGAGTCTGTGTTTTACATTAGGATTCACACTTGGTGTTGTATATTTCTACACATTTGAACAAATGTATAATGACGTATTCACCATTTATAGTTTCATACAGAGTATTTTCACTGCCCTAAAAATCCTCTGCATTCTGCTAATTCATCCCTCTGTTCCCTAATCCCTGACAGCTACTTAAATCTTTTGATGGTCCCCACATGGTACTTTTTTTCAGAATATCATGTATTTGGAACCATACAGTAGGTAGCCTTTCAGGTTGGCTTCTTTTACTTACTAATATGCATTACTAATATGCATTCAAGTTACTTCCATGTTTTTTCATTGTTCAATAGCTCATTTCTTTTTAGTGCTGGATAATATGTCATTGTCTGGAGGTACCACAGTTTATTTGTCCATTCACCTATTAAGGACTTCTTGGTTGCTTCCAAGTTTTGGCAATTCTGAATAAAGCTGCTGTAAACATCTGTGTGCAGGTTTTTGTGTGGACATAAGTTTTTGGGTGAATATCAAGGACTGCAGTTGAGGAGCCATATGGTAAGAAATATGTTTAGTTTTGTGAGAAATTGCCAAACTGTCTTCCAAAGTAGCTATACCATTTTGCACTCCCACCAGCAGTGTCTGAGAGTTCCTCATACTCCAGTGGATGAGAGTTGCTCTGCATCCTCCCTGGCATTTAATGTTGTCAGAGTTCTTGATTTCAGCCGTTATAGTAGATCCATAGTGATATGTAACTGCTTTAAGTTGCATTTCCCTGATGACATTGATAGGTTGTGGATCATCTCTTCATATACTTATTTGCTGTCTATAGATCTTGTTTGGCGAGGTGTCTAAAGATCTTTGACCCATTTTTTAATTGGGTTGTTTTCTATTGTTGAGTTTTAAGAGTTCCTTGTATATTTTGGATAAAGTTCTTTATCAGAAATATGTTTTGCAAATATTTCCTCCCAGTCTTTGATTCATCTTCATTCTTTTGATGGTGACTTTTGTAGAGCAGAAATTTTTATCTTTAATAAAGTTCAGTTTATACTCTTTTTTTTCCCCATGAGTTATGCCTTTAGTGTTGTATCTAAAAAATCATTGCCAGACCCAAGATGTCTAGATATTCTCCTGTGTTCTCTCTCAGGAGTTTTATGATTTTGTGGTTTACATTTAGATATGTGATCCATTTTGAGTTAATTCTTGTGAAAAGGATATGGTCCGTATCTGTTCATTGTATGTATTCATTTTTTTACACGTGGATGTTTAGCTGTCCCAGCATGTTTGAAAAGATATCTTGTTCTGTTGTACAGATCTTACTCAACGATGAGGTTACATTCTAATAAACCTATAGTAAGTTGAAAATATCTCCAGTTGAAAATACATTTAATATACCTACTGAATGTCATAGCTTAGCCTAACCTACCTTAAATGTGTTCAGAACACTTAACACTGGCCTATGGTTGGGCAAAATCATCTAACACAAAGTCTGTCTTATAATAAAGTGTTGAATATATCCATGTAACTTGTTGCATACTATACTAAAAGTAAAAATCAGAATGGTTGTGTGTATTAGTTGTTTACCCTCTTGATCCAGTGCCTGACTGGAAATGGTGGCTCAGTGCTGCTGCCCAGTATCATGAGATTGTACTCCATATTGCTAGCCCAGGAAAAGATTAAAATTCAAAATCTGAAATATGGTTTCTGTTGAATGTGTATTGCTTTTGCACCATTGTAAGGTAAGAAGTTTTAAGTTGAACTATTTTAAGTCGGGGACCATAGTAGGGGTCTCTTTCTGGATTTTATTCTGTTCTACTGATCTCTACTGATCAGGACCATGCTTTCTTGATTACTAAAGCTTCATAGTAAGTCGGGCAGTTGTCAGTCCTCCAGCTTTGCTCTTCAGTATTGTGTTGGCTATTCTGGGTCCTTTGCCTCTCCATATAAATTACAGAATCAATCTGTCAACATCTGCAGTAAGTTACTAAGGTTTTGATTGGATTTCATTGGAATCTATAGATCAAGTTGAGAAGAAATGACATTTTGAAACTGTTTAGTCTTCCTGTCTGTTATGGTGGAATATCTCTGTTTATCTAGTTCTGTTTTGATTTTGTTGATCAGTTTTGTAGTTTCCTCATATAGATCTTGTACATATTTTATTATATTTATACCAAAGTTTCATTTTTGGGGGGATGATAATATAAATGGTATTGTGTTTCTAATGTTTTGTTGTTGTGGGTGCTGTTTTTTACTGCTATAGGATATGAAAGCCTCTCTCCAGAATGGGTTCATATTTCCTTCTGTTGGGGGCCCTTGGAGTTCATCAAATCTGGCCCCGTTTTTATATAAATCTTTCTGCATCTCATGTCGTGAAAGAGTGTAAATTCATATCCCCAACCCCCAATCTGTGTGGCACAGGAGGCCTGGTATTTCAGTTCCTTTGCATTATTTTCCCACACCTCCCGCCACTAGACAGCTTTTAAGTTGTAGGCTTTGTGCAGAGGGTTCAGTTCCAGCTCCCCGACTGCATGTCGGCCATTGCTTGTTTCCAGCTACTCCTGAGCATTGAAACCCTGGTCCCTACAGTCTGTTATCTGTTCTTTCTCCTGGACTGCTTTGCTTTAGCTTTGATACCTCTTTACTTGTGCCACATGAGGATTCTCACTGTTGCTGCCTTAGTTTGGGCCCTACCAGGTCACTGTGCTTCTAGTTTGGTTACCCTCTTAGATTTATCTGTCTTCCATGAAGCACCAATATTCTTTGTAATAGAAAGGCACAAACTCTGGAGGTCAGTGTCATTCCCCTTTGCTGCTTGGCCTGGTTTCCTCCCTGTGTACCAGCCTACCTTGAGCTCTGTAGGCCACGCTGTTCCACTCCTTTGTGCTCTGCACATACTACTTTCCAGGCAGTCTGTGTCCCAGTTTTTTTGTCTGGCTAAAATTCAGCCCAGCTGTTGACACGCTCCATTAAGTCATCTTGACCTATTCTCATGTAAATGGTCTTCTTGTTTGTTCCTGTTGGTGCATAGGTATGTTTTAGCATTTTATGACACAGTTTTGTATATGATGATTTCCTGGTCTTTGGGGGCAGGTATGATTTCCTTTTTTATCTTTTTGGATTATTCATTGATAATATAGTAACACTCAGTAGTCCTTTGTTTTTTGTTGTTGTTCTTGCATTTTTATAAAACTTGATAAAAATTATTTCAAACTGTACAGTCACCAGAAGTACATAGTTAACCAAAAATGCACACACTTGGCATCTCCTCGGTAGTCCTTTGTTAAATGAGTATTTATTTGTATGGTGTGATTACATATGTGCACAGTTGCATTTGAGCCTGCTGTGTGTTACTAATTAGGATTGAATTGGATGAAATTAAGGATATAACTTTTGAGTATAATGCTGCACTCCTGCATGCTTACATGCTGGTTTTTCTTTCTCCTCCTCCAGGGCTGTTGTGTTTGTTGTGGACAGTGCAGCCTTCCAGCGAGAGGTGAAAGATGTGGCAGAGTTTCTGTATCAAGTCCTCATCGACAGTATGAGTCTGAAGAACACACCATCATTCTTAATTGCCTGCAATAAGCAAGGTGCCATCATGTTTTCCAGCAATAATAATTGAGATTTTTCTGGGATTGCTTCTAAGAGCTAATACATTTGTTATTACTGAGGATGAGAGATGATTGTTAAGGAACTATGAAGGATTTTAAATCTAAAAATTGTTTATATACCTGCATTTTTATTAGTTTTTTTTTTTAATTTTTATTAATTTTGTTACTTTTACCAGTCTGTTCTAAGGAGTGTCTATTACCAGTTTTTCTTTGATATAGTGTTTTACAATTTTCACAAAATTGTTAATCATTTTACTTTATTTACCAAGTTAAGTTTGTCCAGATTCACAGTATGTCCTATCACACACAATTGTGGAGGGCCAGGGGACCATCTATCTTTTCAGACAAATTTACCTTTCAGCACATTTTATCAAGGAGGGTTTAGGGTTTGCACAAGTTGTGTTTTCTTTAACCTCATAACCATTAAACATTTTCTATCACACCCAGTAATCTGAGGCTTCAGTTTCATTATCTCTAACATAAGATAAACTAGTTGATTTTATAGTGTTCTTTCAGATTAAAATTCTGATTCTACAGAGAGCCTTATGCATTTCTCAGAAGTGATCAGGTAGGAATAACCCTAACAATGCCTAATCAGGAAGTGGTGTTAGGATCATTACCTGGCCTCTCCGTTTCTTCTCTTTGGTATAGGAGAGAAGGTGATATTTATTTGGCTTTTGCTTGGTGCCAAACCAGCAAAGAGGGTGTTCCTCTCTTACCAAGGGGCAATTAAGTGACTTACTATCCTAGTATCAGCTGGAAATGTGCTTAGTTTACTTTTATATGACAAGTAGGATGTTTCTGTTTACAATCAAAAAGCTGGTAGGTTTTCTCTCTGATACACTGGCTGGACTTACATATATTTTGATTTAAAAGGTCTGTAAGATGTAGAAACTTTCATGAACTAGTCAATTTTAGGGATATGAGCTTAATATATTTGTAAGCATTATTATAGGAAAACCCATACCTGAAAATTAGAAAGCTTATTTTAGTAGTTAAGCTACTAATGGTAGAAAGCTCTTTAGGAAAAAAAAAAAGGGGGAAGAAACTTATTGGTTTAAATTGGAATTTTCCATATGTGCAAGAGGTCTTGGGAAAAGACCCTTTCTGGTTTAAACTATAACAATGTCTTTATTTCTTTACAGACATTACAATGGCAAAATCCGCAAAGTTAATTCAGCAGCAGCTTGAGAAAGAACTGTGAGTATGAATAAGTCATATTGATTAATGTAGATTTTAACACTTAGGAAATTTGAATATATTGCTTAAGGTCTTTGGTCGTATATAATTATCATAGCCCAAAGAATAGTGTGACATATATTTATTAAGTAATTGACAAAATTAATGGAATTCTAAAAAGCATCAATGGGATATTTATGGATACTTTAAAAATTCATGGAAAGAAAATCTTAGGTTTATTGAGACCGTAAGCTCAATTTATTTTCCCACTGTTTCTAGTTCATTTATAGTAGATATGAAAGGTTTTAGAAACTAAAAAATTTGAAAGCCATGAAGGCGCCTGGGTGGCTCAGTTGGTTAAGCGACTGCCTTTGGCTCGGGTTATGATCCCAGAGTCCCGGGATCGAGTCCCGCATCGGGTTCCTAGCTCCGTGGGGAGTCTGCTTCTCCCTCTGACCTTCTCCCCTCTCATGCTCTCTCTCTCTCTCTTTCTCAAATGAATAAATAAAATGTTTAAAAAATTTAAAAAAAAAAATTAAAAAAAATTTGAAAGCCATGGAAATTTTTGTTGACAAAATAAGGAAGGAATGTTTTAAAAGAATTTAAAAATCTATTATACTATTTTATAGCTTATTTTATTATTTTCTAGCTACATTGCAATATCATTTAGCTTATTTTAGTGTTTAAAAATTTGTAAAGTGAGCTAACTTTTTGAATTTTAAGAAATCTACTAGCATGTCTATACTCTCCCAGTTTGTAAGAGCTAGCTACAGCTTGCTTACCCAGGAGCTACCATCAATATTATATGAAGCAAGTAATTTTTTCTTGCTGCTGTTGTGTAGACTTTTTTTTTTTTTTTAATTTAAGAAAAGAACCTAATGAGGAAAAATTGTGTAAATTCAACTTTGAGGGGCACCTGGGTGCTCAGTCAGTTAAGTGTCTGCCTTTGGAGCAGGTCATGATCCCGGGGTCCTGGGATAGAGTCCTATATCAGGCTCCCTGCTCTCCGGGGAGCCTGCTTCTCCCTCTGCCCTGCCCCCTGCTCATGCACTCTCTCTCAAATAAATAAAATCTTAAAAAAAAAAAAAAAATTCAACTTCGAGCACATTTTTTCCCCCACCAGGATTTACTTACTCATTTATACATTTAACATCTAGTATATGGCAAGCCCTGCTTTCAGGATGTGGCTGTAGGGGGAACTGTGATGTGGTTCCTGTACTCAGGAGCTGAGGGTTGACAAACTCCTGCTCAGGGTGTGCAAACAAGAAATAGTTTTACATATTTAAAGGGCAGGTTAAAAAAATAGGAAAAGTAGAAAAATATGTGACAGAAACTAAATGTCACCCACAAGCCCAAAACATTTAATTTATGGTTTTTTACAGAAAAATTTTATCAGACCTGGTCTGTCATTTTCTGTGTTTTTTTTTTTTCTTTTAACTGAGAATGATATATTTAATTCCATATGCTTTAAACTTTTTAATTTATGAATAGAAGAGTAAAGTTAGCGGTTCAGTCAGATTTATCAAAGACCTCCTGCTTTCAAGTTGAATATCAAACGAGATTTTTTTAAACCCCTTTATGGGGGGGGCAATTGATATATAAAAAGCCGTGCATATTTAATGTGTACAACTCCATGCATTTGGGGATAAATATCCACCTTTGAAGCCATCACCACCATCGAGGCCCTAAAAATACCATTATTTTGTAGTTTCCTCCTGCTCTCTTTATTGTTTGTTTTTGTGTGAGGGTGAGTGAGAGAAAGAAAGAGAGTGTTTCATGAGAATACTTAAGATTTATAGTATTGGCAGATTTTAAGTATATAGTGCAGTATTGTTAGCTATACACACTATGCTATATAGATCTCTATTACATACTTGCATAAGTGAACCTTTTTTAAAAAAAAGATTTTATTTATTTGAGAGAGAGAGTAGGGGGAGGGACAGAGGGAGAGGAAGTAGAGAGCCTGCTTCCCTCCCTCCATGAGCAGAGAGCCCAACATGGGCTGGGATCATGCCCTTAGCCAAAGGCAGACGCTTACCTGACTGAGCCACCCAGACGCCCCTGTATAACTGAAACTTTATAACTTTTGACCTAATAACCAAAGGCTCCCCATTTCTCCCTCTCCCCTATTCCAGTAACCACCATTCTACTCTGCTTCTATGTGTTTGTTTTAGATTCCATATGTAAGTGTGATTATATCTTATTTGTCTTAATTGGGTTTGTTATATCACTTAGCATAATAGGTTCATCCATGTTGCTGTAAATAGTAGGATTTCCTCATTTTTCAGGGCTAAATAATATTCATTGCATGTATGTTCCACATTTTCTTTATCCATTCATCCTTTGATGGACATTTAGGTTGCTTCCATATATTGCCTCTTGTAGTGATGCTCCAATGAACATGAGAGTGCAAGTACCCCTTCAAGAACCTGATTTTAATTCCTTTAGATAAATACCCAGAAATGGAATTGCTGGATCATATGGTAGTTTTATTTGTAATTTTTTGAGGAATCTTCATGCTGTTTTCCATAGTGGCTGTATCAATTTACATTCCCACCAACAGTGTACCAGGATTGCCTTTTGTCTGCATCTCTGCAACTTAACTTGTTTGTTTGTTTTGTTTTAATGTTAGTCACTATCTCAGGTGTGAGGGTATATCTCATGGTGCTTCTGATTTGCATTTCCCTAATGATTAGTTACGTTGTGTACCTTTTCATATACTTATTGGCATTTGTGTCCTCTTTGGAGAAACGTCTGTTCAGAAATGCCTATCCTTTGTCCATTTTTCAATTGGATTTTTTTTTTTTTTCTGTTAGTGACTTGTAGGAGTTTCTTATATATTTTGGATATTAACCCTTATCAGATATATGGTTTACAGGTATTCTCCAATTCCAGGTTATCCTTTTATTTTACAGATTGTTTCTTTTGCTCTGCAGAAGTTATTTAAATTAGCAGTCACATTTATGTTTCCTTCTGTTGCGTATGCTTTTGGTGTCATATCCAAAAACTCATTGCCACAACCAGGGTCACTGAGCTTTTCCTTTATGTTTCCTTCTTGGGTTTTTATGGCTTAAGGTCTTATGTGTAAGTCTTTAATCCATTTTGAGTTAATTTTTGTGTACAGTATAAGCTAAAGGTCCAATTTTATTCTTTTGCTTATAGATAATCCAGTTTTCCTAGGACCATTTATTAAAAAGACTATCCTTTACCCATTGTATATTCTTGTTAGCCTTATCAAAGGTTAATTGACTGTATGTGTAGGTTTATTTTTGGCCCCTCTATTATATTCTACTGGTCTGTGTATCTTCTTATATCAGTATCATACTGTTTTGATTACTATAGCTTTGTTATATAATTTGAAACCTGCAAGTGTGATGCTTCCATCCTTTTTGTTTTTACTCAAGATTACTTTTACTATTATGGGTCTTTTTGTGGTTCCATGTGAAGTCTATCATTGTTTCTTCTATTTCTGCAAAAAATTATTCCATTGGAATATTGATATTGCATTGCATCTGTAGAAGGCTTTGCATCATACAGACATTTTAACAATATTTAATTATTCTAATTGAGGAACAAGGATATCTTTTCCTTTATTCTGTCTTCAGTTTCTTTCACAGATGTCTTATTGTTTTCAGTATATAGATCATTTGCCTACTTTAGGGTTTACATTTACACTTAAGCATTTTATTTTTGATGCTTTGTAAACAGGATTGGTAATTCCTAATTTCTCTGATAGATCATTAGTAGGGTATAGAAACATAACTGATTTTTGTATGTTGATTTTGTATCCTGCAACTTTACTAAATTTTTTAGTAGTTCTGTTTCTTTGGTGGTGATTTAGGGATTTATATATATAAGATTAAGTCATCTGTGAACAGAGATAATCTTCTTTTTGATTTTCATGCTTTTTATTTCTTTCTTTGCCTAATTACTGTCTCTAGGTCTTACAGTGCTATGCTGAATACACGTGATGAGAGTGGGCATCCCTGTTTTGATCTTAGAGGAAAAGCTTTCAGCTTTTCACTGTTGAATATGATATTTTCTGTGGGCTTGTCATATATGACCTTTATTATTTTGAGCTATATTCCTTCTGTGCCTATTTTGTTGCATTTTAATCATGAAGGGATGTTGATTTTTGTCAAGTGATTTTTCTTTATTGAGATGATTGTATGATTTTTATCCTTCATCCTGTTAATGTGATGTATTCCCTCTATTGGTTTGTATATGTTGAACTGTCTTTCCATCTTGAGTAAATCCCATTTGATCATAGTGTACAATTCATTTAATATATGTACTGTTGAATTTGGTTTGCCAGTATTTTGTTGAGGATTTTTGTACCTATGTTCATTAGGTATTTTGGCCTATACTTTTCTTTTAGAATCCTTATCTGGCTTGGCTATCAGGGTAAGGCTAGCTAAAATGAGTTTGGAAGTGTTACCTCCTCTTTAATTAGGAAGAGTTTGAGAAGAATTGGTGTTGATTCTTCTTTAAATGTTTGGTAGAATTCACCAGTGAGCCATCACGTCTTCACCTGTTCTTTGCTGGTCGTTTTTGATTACTGATTCAGTCTCCTTCCTTATTGGTCTGTTCAGATTTTCTGTTTTTTCAAGATTCAGTTTTGGTATGTTGTGTGTTTCTAGGAATTTATCCATTTCTTCTAGGTTGTCTAATTTGTTAATAGACTCTTATCCTTTGTATGTCTGTTGTATAAGTTACCCCTTTCATTTCTGATTTTATTAATTTTAGTCTTCTCCTTGCTAAAGGTTTGTCAATTTTATCTTTCAAAAAACTCCTCTTAGTTTCATTGATATTTTCTATTGTTTTCTAGTCTGTATTTCATTTGTTTCTGCTCTGATGTTTATTTTTTCCATCCTTCTGCTAGCTTTGGGGTTAGTTTTTTCTTTTTCTAGGTTCTGGAGGTGTCAACTTAGATTGTTTATCTGAAATCTTTCTTTTTTCCTAGACTAGATATTTATTGCTATAAACTTCCTCTTAGAACTGCCTTTTGCTGCATCCTGTAAGTTTTGGTGTGTTGGGTTTTCATTTTAATTCGTTTCAATATTTTTTTATTTGCCTTTGGATTCTTCCTTGACCTTTTAGTTGTTCAGAAAAGTGTTATTAATTCCCCACATATTTGTGAATTTTCCAGTATTCTGTTACTGAATCCTAGGTTCATACCATTGTGGTCAGAAAAGATACATGATATGATTTCGGTCTTAAATTTGTTAACTTGTTTTGTCACCTAACATGTTATCTATCCTGGAGAACTGTTCTATGTACACTTAAAAAGAAAGCATTCTGCAGATGTTGGCTGGAATGTTCTGTTAGGAATATTTGGTATATAGTCTTGTTCAAATATGTTGTTTTATTGATTTTTGTCTGGATGATCTGTTCATTATTGGAAGAGTGGTACTTAAATTCCCTGCTATTACTTTGTTGATATCTACTTCTCCCTTTAGTTCTATTGATATTTGCTTTATGTATTTAGATTCTCTGATGTTAGGAGCATATCTGGTTACAATATCATATCCTTTTGATGAATTGACCCCTTTATTTTTATATAATGACCTGCTTTGTCTCTTGTGACAATTTTTAACTTAAAGTCTGTTTTGATGTAACAGTTATAGCCAGGCCTGCCCTTTTGGTTGTCATTTGCATGGAATGTCTTTTTCTGTCCCTTCACTTAGAACCTTTGATCTAAAATGTGTCTCCTGGAGACAGCGTATAATTCAATCTTGATTTTTTTTTTTAATATATTCATCCACTCGGTTTTGATTAGAGAATTTAAACCATTTACATTTAAAGTAATCACTGGTAGGTAAGGACTTACTGTATTTTGTTGATTGTCTTCTGTTTTTTAATTCCTTTGTCCCTTTCTTCTTTCTTTAATGATTTGTTTGTGGTGTTATACTCGGATTCCTTTCTCTATTTTGGGTATCATAGGTTTTTTCTTTGTGATTACAATGAGACTTTTATAAAACATAGTATTGGTAATCTTATTTTAAGCTGATAACAGCTTTAATGCATGCAAAAATTGTATGCATTAACTTCTTCCCTTCATTTTATACTATTGATTCCACAATTCACATTTTTATCCACAATTCACATCTTTTTTTTTTTTTTTTTTAAAGATTTTATTTGTTTATTTGATGGAGAGAGGAACACAAGCAGGGGGAGTGGGAGAGGGAGAAGCAGGCTTCCTGCAGAGCAGGGAACCCGTTGAGGGGCTCGATCCCAGGACCCTGGGATCATAACCTGGGCTGAAAGCAGATGCTTAACAACTGAGCCACCCAGGCACCCCTCCACCATTCACATTTTTATATTGTATATCCATTAATAAATTACTGTAGCCATAGTTATCTTTAATACTTTTGTCTCTAGCTTTCATGTTAGACTTAAGACTTAAGTGATTTATATGTCACCATTATAGTATTAGAGTATTCTGAATTTGTCATAGTGAGTTTTATACTTTCCTGTGTTTTCATGTTGTTAGTGTCCTTTTGTTTCACCTTTAAGACCTGCCTTCAGCATTTCTTCCAAGGCAGGTCTAGTGGTTATGAACTCCTTCAGATTTTGTGTGTCTGGGAAATTTTTTCTCCTTCATGTCTGATGGACAGTTTTGCTGGGTATGGTATTGTTGGTGGCAGTTTCTTTTCTTTCAGCACTTTGAATATATCATTCCATTCTGTACTATCATACAGCCTTTCTGCCAAGGCTAAGAAATTTAGTCTTACGGGGTTTCCCTTGCTTGTAACCATTGTCTTTTCTCTTGCTGTTTTCAAAATTCTCTTTGTCTTTGGTTTTTTGTCAGTTTGATTATAGTGTGTTTTGGTGAAGCTCTCTTTATGTTTAATCTATTTAGGGTTCTTTGGGCTTAATGGATCTACCTGTTCATTTCCCTTTCTAGATTTAGGGTTTTCTGTATTATTTCTTTAAAAATAAGTTTTCTGTTTGTCTTTCTCTGCTCCTTTTGGACTGCCATAATGCATGTATTTGATTCCTTTAATGATATAAGTTATCTAGTCTCCCTTTATTCTTTTTTTTCTTTTTGTTCTTCTCATTGGGTAACTTCAAATTACCTGCCTCAGGCTCTCTGGTTCTTTCTTCATCTTAATCAAGGCTGCTGTTAAAGATCTCTGAAATTTTCACATCAGTCAATTGTGTTCTTTAGCTCTAGAGTATCATAAAAACTTTTTATGGCTTCTCTTTGTTGAGCTGCTGCTGCTGTTGCTGCTTCTTCTTTTTTTTTTTAAGTAGACTCCATGCCCAACATTGGGCTTGAACTCACAAACCTGAGATCAAGAGTCTCATGCTTTACCAACTGAGCTAGCCAGGTGCCCTGAGCTTCTTCTTTTTATTCATATATTACTTTTCTCATTTTGTTGAGTTGTCTGTTCTCTTTTATAGCTCAGCAAACTTTCAAATTATTATTTTGAATTCTTTGTCAGGAATTTCATAGATCTCCATTTCTTTAAGGTCAGTTATTGGTACTTTATTTTGTTCCTTTGATAGGCTTGCTGCTGGAGTGCTTTGGCAGACTGGCCTGGCTCCTAGGCCCATGGGTGTGTGGGTCTACTGCCTGGCTTCATGGAAGTGGGCCCAGCACCAGGGTCCACTTGGGTGGCCTGGCCAGGTGCCTGGTCTACTGGGGCAGGTCTGGTGCCGGGGTTCATTGGGGTGGTCCTAGAGCTTGGGCCCAGAGGAGTGGGCTGGGGCCATGGGGGGTCAGCCTGGTGCTGAGTTCTGTGGCTTAGTGAGTGCTTACTTCACTGTCCTTCTCCCAAGTGAAGCATATCTCTCTGTGCTTGCAGGAAAAGTAACGTGGGTAATGTGAAACTGTCCTTCCTATCCTCTTTGAATCCATCCTTTCTTATTTCTGTGTAACACCCAGTTGTAATCTTGGACCCAGATGCCTGCTCTCTCATGCATGTGTGGTTATTCAAATTGATGGTTCTGTGAGAAGACTTGTGCTGGAAACCCCTATTCTGCCATCTTGCTGATGTCAGTGTCAGTGGTTTCTGTCCCTTCTGAAATTGCATGTTTATCATTTTTTCCCTTACTTCTGATGGTCACTCTCTTAAGACTATAAATTGCTTGTTGTTAGGCTAAGGAAATTAGAACAATTAGATGATTTGGTATTCCTAGAAATTCTGGTGCAATTGTTGGGAATTGGTGGGGGGGAAGTAATCATAATGCTTGTGTATCCCATTTTGGTTTTTTCTTCTGGTATAGTCCAAGTCTTCCTAGGTTCAAAAAATGTATTTTCTTTAGTCCATTTGCTTTTCACTCTAAAGAGCCACAGAAAAGCAATACAGACAGAAATGCTATATTATAAGGTAGTGAGGTAAAATGTTAAAAGTTGGGAAGGTGAACATCAGTTAAATTAGGAGTCAGGTTTGATTTGATCTTTAAAGTTTTTTTTTGTTTGTTTGCTTGTTTGTTTTTTTTGTCAGAGAGAGTGAGTACAGGCAGACAGAGTGGCAGGCAGAGGCAGAGGGAGAAGCAGGCTTCTTGCTGAGCAAGGAGCCCGATGTGGGACTTGATCCCAGGACACTGGGATCATGACCTGAGCCGAAGGCTGCCGCTTAACCAACTAAGTCACCCAGGCATCCCTAAAGTTTATTTATTTTTATTAGTTATCTCTACACCCATTTTGGGGCTCAAACTCATGACCCCGGGATCAAGAGTCTCATGCTCTTAGAACTGAGCCAGCCAGGTGCCCCAAGAGTCTGATTTTAAATTAATGTGAGAATTCGGCCCTATCAGCATTGAAGCATTTCATAGTCTTCTGAAAAACTTCTGAAAAGGCTATGTTCATATGGCCTTATGGCAAGAGCTGAGTACAGGTGATGTTTGGCCTTTTTTCCTTCTTAAGTTTTTTTTTTTTTTTTTAATTGTAAAATATCTTACATATAAAGGGATACATATGACACATATATTGAATTTAAAGAATATTAAAATGAATACCCATGGACCCACCACCTTGCATATTAGAAGGCTCTAGGGGCTCCTCCCTATTAATCTTGAATTTAGTATCTTGAATTTTGTATTAATTATTTTTTAAAGTACTTTTTCCGTGTGTGTGTTTCTAAACCAAGGTATCAGTTTTTCCTGGAGATTCTTCACGAATTTTCATGCAGTCTTACAGCTCCAGGAAATGCGTTATTTTGTAAGAAAGCACATTGGGAGCCTGTATTCCGAGGCTTCTGGATCGCAGAAAGGGTGGGAGAAGTAGATGCAGGAGCATTGCTGTGCACTCTTTTTTGAGGCCAGCAGGTGGCAGTAAGACAACTTAAATTTTGGAAGGTTTTCCTGGGTAAAGAGGTTGGAGAGTAGTAATTGTGCCCAAACTGGATATGAGAATCTGGAGTTTGTAGATTTACTAAGCTCTGTATCCACATAGACTCGTGATAAACATAAATACTGTATTTTCCCACACTTAACTTTCAGAGACTTAAGTTACTGTAACATTTATAGCATGTATTTAAAAAATATGTTCAAAAATGGCATCATGCAGATGATCTTAGAGGAAGGGGATAAAGGGGCCCTGGGCTGAGAGAAGGTTGGTATGACCTGGGCACATGAATGACCTGGTCTTATCAAGCCAAGTCTGGCTAGACCCTCGCCTCTCCTGTCTGAGAGCAATCTATGAACGCAAGGGGTTAATCAACAGTCTTAATAGTGTAATTGACAGGTGTATGTCAGGTACTTAAATGAGTGCTGAAATGTTTAGGAATGGGTGTTGCTTCCTAAGGCCTTTAGTTGCTATATAAATGCTATTACTCTCTTCCTGATTCAGTTTTCTTTCATCTCACAGCAACACTTTACGAGTCACCCGTTCTGCTGCCCCCAGCACACTGGACAGTTCCAGCACTGCCCCCGCTCAGCTGGGAAAGAAAGGCAAAGAATTTGAGTTCTCGCAGTTGTCCCTCAAAGTGGAGTTCCTAGAGTGCAGTGCCAAGGGTGGAAGAGGGGACATGGGCTCCGCAGACATCCAGGACCTGGAGAAATGGCTGGCGAAAATCGCCTGAGGGGCAGGGCCAGAGCTCAGGACATGAATGTGAATGTGTGTGGCCCACAGTTTTGGAAAAGGGTTTGGTAGCCTGGAGATGATAAAGAAGTTGATAAAGAATGGGTACGAAATGTAATTAGAAACATTTTCTTGTTCTGGAAACAAATTATTGTTGAAAGTAACTTGGAACTTTTGTTTTTCAGTTTAGTTCTCCCTCAGTGCTTTCTAATCACTTACCTGCCTGTGTTTCTTCCCTTGGTTAAGGTTTATGTCATGTCCCTTTAGCAAATGCTTGACCTAGGGTCAAGGTCTTTGTGACCATAACAAGTGGATCCACATAGAGAGGATATTATCATAAGAGTACGGTTATCATCTGAAAAATTTCTTATCCTCTGCTTCTGTGTGTTAGTTCCTTTTCCTGAAAACAAACCTGTCTGTGTATGGAACCAGTTGATTCCATTTGCCCTTGATGTTCATGGGCAGTATGTCATCTAGTCCTTTGTGACTTCTCCAAAGTGTGTGTGTAGTTACCGTGCGGTCTCTCGACCTGCGAAGAAGACAGGTAGGAAACAGCAAGGCTGTGTTGACAGCGGGTCTGTTCTTCATTAATGTAGTGACTTGTCCACACTCCAGCCTCACAGCACTCAGGTTTTAAAAACTCGCCCTGAACCCCTGGAGTCATTCCCGGATGATAGAACTATAAATGCTAAATCCCCGCACGGCAAGCGTCTGATGTGCTCTCGTGGTTTCCCTTAGCTGAGGAGTATATAAAGATTTAGAAGCTGTTTGTGGTTTTTTGGATGGCTGAGGGCTCCTGGGCTACATTCCTTTACTGTTTGACCAGCCCCTATTTTGTACTCGGAGCTAGAATGCTGTGGAACACATGCGAATTTAAAAAGTTCTCTATAGTTTTTTAAAGTGCATATTCACTCATGGTTGAAAGAAAAGTCAGCTTTTTCAAAGTGGTATTCTTTGTTGTCTTCTTAAATGTTGACTTTTCTAAATGGCTTTTATAAATTATTAATGCGTTTCTTGGTAAATAACGTGTCTGGCTCAGAGCAATTGAGTGGAATGGTAGAGTGAGTACAACTGGGAGCATGTGTTAGGGTGCAGGCTGAGCTCCATTATTTCCAGGGCCTGAAGATTGCAGCATACACAGGGACAAACTGCTGTCCCTACTTCACACACTCAGGGACAAGCCGCATTAAAGCTTCAGAGGAGACAAGAGTAGCTGTGGGTGAGGGAGAAGCTGGTCCCAGAACAGTGTGGTCAGAGTCCGGAGAGGAGAGGTGTCGGGGCTCGGCAGGCGCACAGCAGGGGCACCTCGCCTGGCTGCGAGGGGTCAGGGAGAGTCAGATAGAAGCATGGGGCCAAAACCATCCCAGGGAGTGCGGTCCCCTTGTCTGTGCTCTACAGCCCAATCCTCTGCCTTCCCGCCTGCCTGTGGGTCATCCCAGCTCTGCGTGAGAGCCCTCCAGCTCCCCTCTGCCCCCAGCCCTGGATCCTACGCCTTGCTGCTCACTTGTGGAGGAAGTGCGGGCAGAAATGGAGAAGACAGTGGGCCTTGACCCACACAAGAGTTCTTATTTGAAAGCCTTATTGCTACTTGTGTTCTGACCATCCTTTGGATTCTTAGTTTTTGCCCTTTTTAGCCAGCAGTAATTTAAGGAAATAGGTAAGAATAATGAACCAGAAATCAACAGAGAATGTGATGAATGTGACACGTTCACATAGTCACAGTAGGTGCTCGTGTGAATAAAAATCAGTGGCTTGATGCTTCCGTTAAGAGGCATGTGTGCTCCGCTTCATTTTGTTTTCCTGGTTAATAAATTGTTTTCTTTACTGGAGGAAGCAATACACCAAAAAAGTCAAGTTCTCTCTCAAGCAGTGATTCTCAGATGTCAGTGGGCATCAGAATGATGTGTGGTGCCCAGCGGACAGCTGTTCTGAGGACCCCACTCCCAAACGTTCAACTCGGTGGCAGTTCTGGTGTGGTCTCAGGGGTCTGCGTGCTCATTGTGTCCTGGGCCAGGTACGTGGGGCTCCTAAGAGCGCCCTACGAACTCAACCTGCCCTGGAATGAGTGCCACATGTACCTTCAAGAGACTTGGTTTTTAAGTCCTTGGGGCCACATGCCCTGTTTAGTTTTTCTCACAGGGTGTAAAGTAAGCAAGCAAGCGTCAGAGTCCCTCCCAGGCGCTCTCATCCTGCTTCCTACTCCTGTGCTCTCGTTATCCCATTCTTGTGCGTTTGGGCCAGGGGGAGATCGTGGTGACAGTTCTTGGGTGCTGGGAAGGGGTTCCAAGAGGTCCCATGTATAGTTCTCTAATCTTGGTATCCTCTTGTGGCCCTGAAGCCGTTCAGCCATGGGGACTGGCAGACGAGGCACAGCTATGGGTCAAAGATGAGACCGCTGAGGCTTGAAGCAGCTCCTTCTTGGGAACACAGCAGTGTCTGAGCCACTGGATGTGTATGGGCCCTGCCACCTGCTCACAGGCCAGCTGCCGCCTGATACAAATAACCCCATTCCTTGCTAAGGGAGAGGTGCAGGACGCAGGGAGGTGCCATTATGTGTGTGTGGGGGGGTGGCTGTGATGAATATGCCCCGGGCACGCCATTGCTTCTGGAATGGGGTCCTCCATGGGGTGTGGAACATGTGCAGACTGAGGGGTCGGGGTACTGTTGGCCTTACTGTTTATTCCAGCTCTTTTTTCAAGCCCTTTTCCGAGGGGTCTGGGGCCTTGGTAGCCCCTCCACTGCCAGTAACCTGCCCGTTTGCTGGAGTCCGAGTCAGCAACAGCAGTTCTTCGTAGGGAGTGCCACTTACCTTTTCCCATGGCTTCTGTCTCAGCACCTCCTGGGATTCGTGTCCCGCTGGGGTCCTCTTACGTGTGAGGCACTTAGTTTTCCACTGACTTGAGATTATTGTGTTTCAACTGAAATGTGTGTTTCTGTTTGTGGTATTTTTGGTATATGTGTGTATCGGAATACTTTGGTATTTCTAAATACAGTTAAGCATAGGATTATCAAAGCTGCTTTCTCCACTCTTGCTCACTGGACACAACGTAGCTACAGTGATAAGGAAAGCCACCTCGAGCAGCATCCTTCAGTGCCATGCGGGGCACTTCGGACAGGTCATCACCAACCCTCTGTCATCTTCATGTTTGTGTGGGGAATCTCGGGGTGCTCCATTCTTCTGGCAAGGGCCGGGGCTGCTAGACGGTTATGTTGATGCTGTGTCCTACATTATTTCCTCCCCTTGCTATCTCAAGTCCTGCTATCCTGACCACAGTAATCCTGGGAAATGGTTGTGGGCTCGGAACAGCTTGCCTCTGGCTTCAGTCTGGTTTGTACAAGCGTGTGCACTTCGGCTGTCAGGCCTCTCCCCCTTGCTATCCCCTGGACCTCCTCTACCTCATTTTACGTCTGGCAGCCAGAGAAGTGAGGCTTAGTGGGCAGAGCATCCATTTCCTGTCCCTCCTAATTTAGAGGTGGCTTCTCCGAGGTGGCAGATAGGAGGGTGTTCCAGAAACTTTAGAACCTTCAAAAGGGAAAAATATGTAGTGAGGTTGAACTCAAAAAAGAATGAGACCTGGTGAACTTGGCTTACTCCATAGCTCCAGGATTCCCAGCATTCTCAGGCCAGAGCAGTTCTGGGCCTGATCTTGGCCTTTGTGTCCTCTCTGGATTGGTCTCACAGTTGTTCAGGATTTCAGGGCATCTTTTAGTCTGGAAATGACTGACATCTGAAGGGGCCTCTCAGGGATGTTCTCTAATCAGTGTGGGGAAAAGCAGGAGGGGGTATGTGGCTGCTTGGTATCACCTGGAGGATGATTACGGCTCACCTTAAATTCTTTAATGGCTTTCTGGACATCACCAGAAGGGAGAGAGGTTCAGTCCCTGCCCCCACCCTTCAAAACCCCCAGCCGTGGCAAGTGGGGACCAGGGATGACAGAAGTTATTACACAGTCCTGGGTCTCAGTTCGGCCTGGGGCTTCCCTTTCCATTAGCCTTCAGACAGTGGAGTTGATGGAAATGAGTGAGACTTTCACCTCATTAGTGTGTCAGGATGTGAAGGGCCCAGGTGAAGAAGAGGAAGAAGCAAAGGGCTTTGGGTGGTAGACCCCCAGACGTGAGACAAGGGTTTGTGGAGCAAGCGTGTGAGGAAATCTGGTTTGGCACAGTGCCCCCCCCACCCCCAACTAGCCCCCCATATATGACTGCACCACTTAGAAACATTGGACAAGAGGTTTTGTGTTGAGAATCAGGACAGTTTATTGTTTGATCAACATGCTGAGTCTTCCACATTTTACACAGTTTTATGTAAAGTCAATGTGGCCATTTATGCCTGCTGAGCCAGTAAAAGATGGAAATGCCACCCTCTGTGCTCCTCATGGCCAATCGCTTTCAAGGGGATGGGTGAGGGAAAGTGAGAGGACAAGTTGACACACCACACGATGCAGGCTGGCCTTCCGCATCTGGAAGCTTCTTACTGGAAGGAAGCTTCCCAACCCCACTGCAAGGATGAGCCATGCCCTCCGGGGAATGTCACCCACACAGGGGTCTGGCGCCAGAGAGTTTACACGTGAGAGCCCAAGGTTTTGGAACACCTAGATAGTTCATTTCAAACAAAAACTCAGAGGGTGCCTTGGTGTTTGGGTGCCCATGACAATCAGAGGGGACTTGGGGGCTGGCCCTTCTTGGCAATCAGGAGTGTGAAATGGACATGCATTTTTCCCCAGCTCACTCAACCAAGCTGGCCAGAGTCCTAAGCAGAGTAGAGGTGGTCTGAGGAGCACCCGTGCCCCGCAGCCCTTTACATGCAAGTGCACCGTCACATCTGCACACACAGGTTGATGATAGATAAAGAACGGAAACACCTTGGCTCTGATGGCTTCCGGCTTGCTGGATGACCAAAAGCAAGTGGCCCTTCTCTGCCTTGGTCTTCCTGCCTGTGAGACAGGAAGGGTTGCAAGACCTCCGTGTCATGCTGCTATAGCGAGGTGGTGACGACTCACGTGCGCGGGGGAGAGGTAGTTTGGACATCAGTGAGCAGCATACGGCCCTGCTTGGTTGCTGCACCAAAGCCTGCTGGGCTGCCCCTCACGTGGCTCGGATGGGACTTAATCCTTGGCTACCTGTTCTCACATCCTAACACCCTCACCTGCCTTCTGCCACGTGA